TCCATCTTACAAACTCATGGCATCCCAGTTCACCCTCTCTTATCTTTAGCCCATAACCGTTGCTTAATAATTTATTTTCCCTATGCTAGGATTTTGACTGCTAAAGCTATTGAAGCTAATGATGGGAAGCCTTTACCTCTATACCAGAAGGCCTTGTGTGGGTTAACTGCCGGTGCTATTGGAGCTTGTGTTGGTAGTCCTGCTGATTTAGCTCTTATTCGTATGCAAGCCGATGCTACGTTGCCTGCGGCTCAACGGCGGCATTATACCAATGCCTTCCATGCTCTTTATCGCATTGTTGGTGATGAGGGAGTTTTGGCACTCTGGAAGGGAGCTGGCCCTACCGTTGTGAGAGCAATGGCTTTGAACATGGGAATGCTGGCGTCCTATGATCAGAGTGTTGAGTTTTTCAAGGACTCACTTGGTTTTGGTGAAGGCGCTACTATTCTGGGTAAGAAGATTATTTTTTGCCAGCTGTTATATCTTTAATATTTGTTTTGAGCAGGAACTTACTTAATTTGAATGCCTGCAAATGTGACTCCATTGGCAAAATTTGTTCATTTTGTTAGTTGCATGGTTGTGAATACAGTTTAAAGTCTTGTCAAACCATCTGTCCTTCTCTGCACCATCTTGCTATACTGTATTTTTTTATCTGTACTCTATTTAAAAGAGTGATGAACTGAATTTCTGCCCTTTGTTGATTATACGAGAATTTATGACTCACGCTAATTGGTCTACTAATTTGGCCATTTGGCAGCTCGTAAATTGTGAATTTCCCATTCAGTGATAGATCAACACCCAACCCTGGTTCCCAACTCAAAGTAATGATCATGTTTGTTAGCCATATTAGCAATTTATGACAACCAGAGTATTTTGTTGAAGTAGATCTCTGCCACGAAATTTGAAGTAATGTCCTATCCCATAAGTTTCTAGACTCTGATGGAACTGTCCAGTTTGAATTACCTTCAGATTTTTTATGTTCCCGTTAGGTTGGTGTTGAGTGGCGTCAAGTGAGCAAGAACCATGCTGTAACTTGCTGGGGAAAAAAAATTAATACCGAGTTTTCTACAATAGTCGTTTGCATTTTTAACGACTCATTTAGGCCATAGATCATGTTTTGTGCTTGGAGTCGCGCTGCAAGCACCATAATGTGATCACGTGAGATTGGTTGGTTGATTTTACACATGCATTGGCCCGGTAACCTTCTGTTGCTGCTTCACCTTTGCAGTTGGTATTTTTATGCTGTATTGCTGCTTAGTTGACTGGACGTACTTAGCAAAGTCTTTTAATTTGTCTATCTGATGTACTGATGGGTTTGTAAAGCTTATGCAACGATAAATGTTTTTCCACTAGAAGAATCAAGGAACAATTACACTGAAAAGCTGCATTAAGTTTGCTCGAACCTACAAAGGTTCAATGAGATTAACCTCACAGAACTAGGAATATGCATGTCCTGTTGTGCACCGATAAATTGTCATTTTTGAAAAGGGATTCCCTATTAGTTGAGGTCAGGTACTGTAAGGTTTGAGGTTTGGTGACCCTTGTATTTTGAAACACCATAGGAGCCCTTTGGTAGATGATCTTAAAGGTTTTCTGCATTATTTGTAGTGGTGTTATATTTTCTGGTTAGTAACCTGGTCTAATCGGTAATATGTATCAAGAAGCAAAACAGAGTTTGGCGTATACGTCCTACCTTTGCTTCAAAAGGGATGGTGTTTTCTTGTTATGTCATTCTACTCTTTACATGAAGAGACCTGCAGCAAATACTATAACCCCTTTAGGGTTCACTTAGGAAGGCCCCTAATCCGACCACAAGCTTTCCAGTTTAGAAGTGTTAGATAGATCTCGTCCATGTAATCTAATGTTCTTTCCTTGATGTGCTTCTTTCCTTTTTCCATGGAGGACCCACAGAATAGGTCGTTAGGATAAATGGTACATGCTGAAGCTGCCTTCTAGTTTCAGGCATTTGGTAAAAAAGTCAATTTAGCTCTTTCCTCTATGGCTTTCTTCTGTACATCACAAGTACGATCATAGTTCCGTGTAACCGAGACATCTGAAGATTCGTTCCAGAAGTGAGGCAAGGGCTTTATTTTGCTCCAATCGTACTCTCTAGAAAGTTTTTTTCCTGTACCTTTGTGTAATTGATAGCGAATATTAATTTCTTTGTCCTGCAAAATGCTAACAATTAGTGTTCCATGGAAATTTTCCTGGTGCAAGTAAGAAAGCAACAACGTCCGGGCTTTTTATGGATAATGTACACTAGTTATGTTAATCGGATGCTAATGTTTCATTTCCTTCCATGCTTTTGCAGGTGCCAGTACTGTATCAGGTTTCTTCGCTGCAGCCTGCAGTTTACCTTTTGATTACGTCAAAACCCAAATTCAGAAAATGCAACCTGATGCTGCGGGAAAGTATCCATACACTGGCTCCTTGGATTGTACCATGAAGACCTTGAAAGCAGGAGGGCCATTCAAATTTTACACTGGCTTCCCTGTGTATTGTGTTAGAATTGCGCCTCATGTGATGGTATACTCTCTCTCTCTCTCTCTCTCTCGGCCACACATGGATGCTCGCCACTTGTAAATGTTCATCGATGTCGATAACTAAATTTATTTTTTGTTGATGCTTGCTTTTGCAGATGACTTGGATTTTCCTCAACCAAATCCAGAAGATTGAGAAGTCCATCGGGTTATAGAATTTTAGCTGATGGGATTGTTTTCCAAGTTCACTATCATTAATAAGGATTTAAAATACATTTTTGCTGTGTCGAAGTCTTGAACGGGTTTGGCGATATCACACCCCCCAAATGCAGAAATTTTCTTTTCTATGATGCAACTGAAGTAGGCTCTCTCAATGTGTCTTGATTTGTAGCAGTAATTCTTTTTGGGGTGTGATCACATAGGACACTACAGTCTTCTTATTCTTGGGTGTTTTAAGGGAATTACTCAGCTGAAGAGCTTTAGGGAAAGATTGCTCCAAGTGAAATAAGCTTTGTACTCAGAGGAAAACTGATCTTCTCTTTCAGAACCAACTCGCGGTATTTGCTTTTCTGGATGAGTTTATCATCCACTGAAGTGATCAATTGAGGTTTCTTCACTCTTGTTGGGTACTATGTTTCTCTGACATCGGTATCAGAGAGAACTGTTCTTTCTTTTCATTGAAGGGGTGAAGTCGGCTTCGTTATTCTGTTTTGGTTTGTGATAGTTTCATACATTTCATTTGGTGCCTATGTTTATTCCCATTTCTTGTTAGGTACTATGTTTCTCATGATTCATTTAATTAAAATCCGGAATGACTTAGGCTCAAACCGAGAGGCCTCATTCGTACCTGTCTTACATGGTGAGTTTAGTGATGCAAACATCAGGGTGGCAGGAGAGATGACGAGATTTTGTCAAATTTATCAAGAAGATAAGATCACATAAATTATTGCCAACCGCATGTTGGCCTACGTTTTGCATCTTCGGGTTTTAAAAGATCGGTACTTTCGTATCAGAGTTGCAGAACCGATAGCAAATAGGCGGCGCGAGTGCAGTTATTTTTCTCTTGAAACTTTAGAGGGCAAAAGCGTGATACGTTGAAGCTAAAACGAGGCATGTTAAATTCTGGAAGCCAATCTGAAGATGTAGAGTATATTAGAAGAGGATGCGAAGGAGGAGATGTTGATTATTTCTGTCTGTTTCCCCATCAATTATCAGGGTGAAACCTATATGTATTCTTTAGAAGGGACGATCTCGAAAAATAGTCTTCTTGATTAGCACACCTTCCACTTTGTTAAAGAACAAGAACGTGAAAAAAAAGAAAAAAGAAAAGAAAAGAAAAGAAAGTATGTTCTATTTCTGAAATCATAAGAACACATCTTCTTAAGTAATGTTTGCTCGAGTGTAATCAGAAGAAAAGAAAAAGTACTTTACACATTTTATTCGCATAAAGCCATTGTATTATTCGGATTTCAGATAATTATGAATACCCACGAATTCGGTTTACCTCATGTTTGACTTAGAGATTCCTCGACCTCGTCCAGAATTTTGACAAGTCTGTGTGGGCACGTAGAACAGCCGATGTTTCCCATTTTCACTGGCAAATACGTATGGATAGAATCCGAAATCCAAATGATTAGTTGAGTCGGTTAAAGATTCGGCATCGGATGCGGCAAAGGGTCGTGGGATCAAGTCTCGACCAAGATGACTCTCTTGAAGCCACCCCCGAGAGAGCCTCGTCCCTTCTGCTGGGGGCGAGGCGCGAGTGCTACCATGGCTCTAATTGTGATATTTCGCTCCCAATTGCGCATATGACGGTGCGGGCTATGTCCGAGAGGTGGTAACCGTAATTTGCAATGCCTTGCGTCCTAGTCTAAAGTCTACCGATCCCCCCCGGTCATGCCACGGCCGCCCGATATCATTACGTTACTTAATAGTTTCACTTCGAATCGACATGATCTAATACTCACACTACAGCTCAACTCAGTAAGCCCAGAGCCGAATGTAAAAGGACGCGATTTGAGAAGTCGAACTGCAGACACATTCGGCGCAAAAACAACGGACACGTTCATCTTTACGTCTGCACTGCATAAATGCGAACGCAACTGAATGGGGCCCCCACCATGTGCGCCTTCCTCCATCATCTGGTCTAAGCCACATGCTGCTGCTGCTGCTCGGTTCCCCCACCCCATATTTCTTTTCTTTCTTCTTTTTTCATTCTCTCCTTTTAACAAGTAAGTTCACCTAAATTCCTTCAGTTCATTAAGTAATCTGACGAGAATCTCATGAATTAGGTAGGATCCGAGCTGAAATTCGAGCGACGGGAATGGAAAGGGTGCGCTCATTTCATACATTTTTACTGGAGAACGAAGTGCTTCGGATGGTTTCTTGAGCCAGGAATGCCAAATGGCAAAGATCGTCAAATTTGATTACTATTGCGTTCGAATTTGGGATCCTTGGATGGAGTTTGATGATGAACCAGAGCAGCAACAATGTCCCAACAGAAGAAGGGGAGTTCCAGAATCCATGAAGCCCGGGGAATCTTATTACTTCCAAATAGGGTATATTCATAGATAAAAGTCACAATAGCCCAGAAGGCATATCATACCAATGCCTCCAAACATATGAATGTGAATCAGATTAACAGGAAAAAAACCCAGAAACAAATCATCATCCCTTCATCAACAGACCCAACAAACAATCTCGCTAAAGTTCCTAACTTTATAATAAAATAAGGAAGAGAAACCAACCAAACCAACCCCCACAATCTCTCTCTCTCTCTCTGCCCTCTAATCCCTCTTCTCCCCCTGCAAACTCATTAGCCAAGAGCTAAGGAGAGAGCGAGCGAAAAGCAAGAGGAAACGAGCAGTCTCGCCGCCTACATTGCTCCTCATCCTGCGAGCTCAGAGCAAGTAACCCAGAGCAAGAGCAGCCACGGAGGCGAGGAAGGTGGGGACGAAGGCGGAGGCGTCCGAGGCCGGGCTCGGCGCCGGGGCTTCGGCGGCGGAGGCGGTCTGCGCGGCAGCGAGAGCCACGAGCACCACCACCATCAGGGTCACGAAGAGCCTCATCTTCATTGCCTCCATTTCTGCGCTTCTCGGAAGGATTTGAAAAACTTTCCTGTGGGCTTGAAACGTTGAACACGGAAACAGAGAGAGAGAGAGAGATTATGCAGAGCAAATGAAGCGTCAATGACAACGGTCGTGGGTGACGAAGCATGGGTCATACACTACATATTTATACACTGACAACACCACCTCTCTCTCTCTCTCTCTCTCCGTTGTTCTTTCCATTTTTAAAAAATGGAGAGGGAGAGAGAGAGACGTTAGGGTTTGGACAGAGTGGAAGGGGGGGGCAGAGTTGCCATTGCTATACAGCTGTCTCCTCTTTGCCTTTTGGGGTCCTCGCACTGGCTTGGCTGTCCTCCCAGCTCCTGTTTCTTCATAATCACTCGTTTTTTTTTTACCACTGCTGTGTCTTTTTTCACCCATCTCCAAAGTTTCCATGGCCAAAAACATGAATCGTCATTAAAATCTATTAGCTTTAACCTTGATATACTTCTCCTCCACACACCAGATGCTGCCGCTCATGTCCAAAATGACACTCTACTTCTCCCTTGTGTTTGCGCCGGCTTCTTATTTTTTGTTTTCCTTGCCGTTCGTTTGATTGAGATCGAGACAAAACGAGAGCCTCGAAAGAATAATACACGATACTATAGAGTCCGTTTGGTTATGGACAGCCACGAGCTGTTAGTTCTTGTGTTTTTGGTAAGCAGCAGCGATTGTTCTAAGAATTTAACAGTAGACTCTACCCTCTATGTCCAAAAACTTAGATTCTTTTGTTGAGTAAAAAGAAAGTTAAAGACGATAGGTGAAATTAAATTCTTTTATCTCGGGGTTAATACCACGAAAAACCCTAAACTCCAGTACACTTTGACACATTTATCCCAAACTATTTTTGACCATAAAAACCTCAAACCTGTACACCCGTGACAATTTTACTCGAACTATTTTTTTTTGACCACAAAAACCCCAAACCCAGTACACCGTGACAATTTTACTCCGAACTTACCACAAAAACCCCAAACTGGGTACATATGTGACAATTTTACCCTAATTTTTTAATTTTTTTCGAATATTTATTTATTTTTTATTCTTTTCTTTTCTTTTTTTTTTTTCATCTTCAAACCAAGGCTGAAGCCGGCGAGGGCCGCCCTCGCCGGCGTCGGGCTAGGGCGACCCTCGCCTGCGTCGGGCGACCCTCGCCTGCGTCGGGCGACCCTCCTCGGGCGAGGGCGCCGCTCGCGGCCGGCGGCGAGGGCCGTCCTCGCCCGCCCGAGGGCAAGGGCGACCTCGCCCGACTCAGCGAGGGCGGCCCTCGCCCACGCCGGATCGTGAGGGCGACCCTCACCTGCGTCGGGCGAGGGCCGTCCCGCCGCCCAGGCAAGGGCGACCCTTGCCCGACTCAGCGAGGGCAAATTTTATTATTATTTTAATTTTTTCGAATTTTTATTTATTTTTATTCTTTTTTTCATCTTCAAACCCGGCCGGCGACGGCCGGAGGGGTGGAGCGAGGGCCGCCCGCCGACCGGCGAGGGCCGCCTCGCCGGCTCGGGCAAGGGCCGCCCTCGCCGCCAGGCAAGGGCGATCCTGCCGACTCGCGAGGGCGGCCGCCCAACGCAGCGAGGTCGCCCTCGCGATCCGCGAGGGTGACCCTCGCCGGATCCGGAGAGGCCGCCTCGCCCGACGCCTCGGGAGAGGGCGAGGGCCGCCCGCTCGAGCCGGCGAGGGTCGACCTGCCCTGGACGGCGGGCGAGGGCGGCCCTCACCGGCTTCCGCCTTGGTTTGAAGATGAAAAAAAAAGAAAAGAAAAGAATAATAAATAAATAAAAATTCGAAAAAAATTAAAAATAATATTAAAATTTTAATTCATGGTAAAATTATCACATATGTACCAGTTTGAGGTTTTTTGTGGTAAGTTCAGGGTAAAATTGTCACAGGTGTACCAGTTTGGGGTTTTTTATGGTCAAAAAAATGATTTGGGGTAAATGTGTCACAAGTGTACCAGTTTAGAATTTTTCGTGGTATTAACCCTTTATCTCGCCTCTCCTAACCTCAGATTCTTTAAGCACTTTTCGAAGCTATAATTGCTGCGATTTGGAAATAACCACCGCATCAGATTCGAATCTCAGGGGGCTTACTCCTTTAAAATTTTGCCGTTGCTTCCCTTTCCTTTTCAGAAAAAAGGAGGGAAAAGAAAGGTGGGTCATGTCGTGGGTTGAGGTGCAAACATCAAGACCAAACCGAGGTTTCAAATTTGAAACCAGCCTCTCAAAAAGCTCCTCCTCACCAGTCAGTACTCTCAAAAGAAAGGTGGGTCATGTCGTGGATGAAATTAGCTCTTCTTGGGCCTAGAAAGAGTTCATCACAGAGACTCGAAAACTTGGATATCTGCTCTGGCTCATGTAAATTATTCTGTCTATTTTGTCATTCTCCTTCTAATTAATCAGACAGGAAAAATTTCCACCAAATAAAAAAATCAGACAGGAAAAAAAGAATGGGATTCTTTAATGGAGTAATTGAAGAGAGGACAAGAGCCAAAGTCTGTGCTGGCATGGCGTCAATTATAGGAAGACATGGGTGACCCGTTTGGAACTCTCTGCTCATGTGCAACCCACCATCACTGATCCTGTGCAGATGCCAATGATTTCATCCAACACAACACCGCCCAAGCATTATCAAATTTCACTAACATCCACATGATTAGTTTAGGCTGAGCTGTGTCTATCTTTCATTATACAAATACCCTTTTAAAATGACTGATATGTTCAATTATTTAGTAATCGGATTTTTCTTGTGATAGATCCCTTCAAAACTTCGAATCATTCCCTATTTCCTGGGGGCGACTGATACCCTTGAACTCGTCAACACGATCCACAAAAGTGAAAAATTTGTGTGCGCTCGATGAATGGGGATGTCCACTCTACATTTCCTCCACGATTCCCTCGCCTTTTGGAGACAGTCTTCCGTTCTACACGGATGCATCTGCATAAATCGAGTGAGTCACGTAGTGTTTGCGTTACATAACTAGATGTCTTTATCCTGGTAATGACAGCAGTGTATCCAATAAGCTGGCACTTTAGCTCAAATCAGCAACAATTATCTTTTTTTCCTCCAGTATTTTTTTGTCAACATAAAAAAAAAAAAAACTCGTCACTTCTTAAGTGAAAAATGGAAAGCTTGAGGACCAACATAAACGATTGCGTTCATCTTTTGCTCTCACCTGTATGTAGTAGAGAGAAAGAGAGAGAATCAAAGCTAAACACTGAGGCAGACTTTTCTCTTTTCCCTGATAAGCTATAAAGATTGTGCAGTGGAAGGCTTGATTTACCTTGAATCGTGCAATGAATTGGGGCATAAGTGAAGGCTTATCCTTTTTAATTAGCCTTTTGTTTTTCCTTTAAATAGATGATGAAAATGGGAAGCCTCAACTCGATGACTTAAGAAGATACATTAGCGGAAATGAGCAACATATTCCAGTCATGATGCCTGAGCCATAAATGTCGGGCTGAGAAAAGATCAAAACATCAATGGCATCTGTGGGCTCAGCCAAGCACCCAAGTTTGCAGCCAGTCTTAAAAGAACCAGAACGAGAACTAGAGCAAGAACCTAAGCATTTTAAGGAATCGGGTCAGAGAAAGAGAGGTCCACGAGTTTAGATTTACCACCTTATGTCAAGCATCTCATCTGATATCACCACATCACTTTAGTAAAAGAGATTTCTCACTATATCTAGCATCGCATCACTTTAGCTATAGTTGTAATGGTAAGCAAAAGGGGAAAAGTGCCAATTTAGTTCTAAACCTTTTGCATTAGTGCCAATTTAGTCCTAAACCTTTTTTTGGTACCAATTCAGTCCTAAACCTTTTGCATTGGTGCCAAGTTAGTCTTAAACCTTTTTTTGGTGCCAATTAAGTCCTAAACCTTTTAAATTGATGCCAATTCAGTCCTAAACCTTTTGTTTTTGTGCCAATTTAGTCCTTTCGGTCAATTTTGAACGGAATTTGCCGGCGTGGGCCTCTTGGCTGTGGCGGTCACGGCAGCCGACGTGGACAACTTTAATAATATTTTAATATTTTTTGAATTTTTATTTTTTTCCTTTTTTTTCTTTTTTTTTTGTCCCCCCTCCTTCCTCTGGCCGGTCGCCAATCCGGCGATCGGCCAGAGGCCAGAGGCCGGCGAGCTCGACCTCGCCGGCCACTGGCGAGGGCGGTGGCCTCGCCCGTCGAGGGCGAGCCTCGCCTTGGTTGGGCGAAGCTCGACCTCGCCAGATCCGGCGAGGTCGGGCCTCGCCGGCCACTGGCGGTGGCTCGAGCCCTCGCCGGAGGCCGCGGCGAGGGCGAGCCTCGCCATGGTGGGCGAGACCCGACCTCGCCGAGATCCGGCGAGATCGAGCCTCACCCGACCATGGCGAGGCTCGCCCTCGCCGCGGCCTCCGGTGAGGGCTCGAGCCTCGCCTTGGTCGGGCGAGGCTCGACCTCGCCGGTGGCCGGCGAGGTCGCCGGACGAGGCTCGACCTCGCGGATCCGGCGAGGTCGCCGGACGAGGTCGACCTCGCCGGATCCGGCGAGGTCGGGCCTCGCCCGACCATGGCGAGGCTTGCCCTCGCCGCGGCCTCCGGCGAGGGCTCGAGCCTTGCCAGTGGCCGGCGAGGCCCGACCTCGCCGGATCTGGCGAGGTCGAGCCTCGCCCGACGTCGATCGGCCAGAGGAAGGAGGGGAGACCAAAAAAAAAAGTGAAAAAAAAGAAAAAAAAGGAAAAAAAAATAAAAATTCAAAAAAATAAAAATATTATTAAAGTTGTCCACGTCAGCGCCACGTCGGCGCCACCGGTGACTGGCCAGCAGGCGTCCACGTCGGCAAATTCCGGTCAAAATTGACCGGAAGGACTAAATTGGCACAAAAACAAAAGGTTTAGGACTGAATTGGCACCAATTTAAAAGGTTTAGGACTTAATTGGTACCAAAAAAAGGTTTAGGACTAAATTGGCACAAATGTAAAAGGTTTAGGACTGAATTGGCACCAAAAAAAGGTTTAGGACTAAATTGGCACTAATGCAAAAGGTTTAGGACTTTTTTGGCACTTTTCCCTAAGCAAAAGGTACCAGACCTTTGTCCATCAAGAGTTCAATACAGACGGCATTCCCCGCCAATTCCGTTTTCAGTTTCTCCTTCCTAGACATGGGTTATGATTGATGAGCATCCGAGACTCAGTGATCGGAGGAAATTGCAGACTTTCTGACTGAGCAAATCTTGATCTTGAAAGTTGGAACCATACACATTGTTTCACCTTAATGGTATTGAGCTTCTAATCTTCTGTGCTAGTTTCTTTGAACTGCTTTCTTCCCCCCGAAAGGCATCGCTGCATAGTTTCCTTTTCTTTCGTTCTTTTTTGGTTATTGCATTTCTATTGGCTATTTACGGCGACACAGATGTTGTCACGTCGTCCATGCTGATCATTTAGCTTCTTTCAGTAGAGTCAATTTCGACATAAATGATGGACCGAATTCCAAAAGGTCTTCCCGCGGATGATGTTGAGTTTATGTGCATTTGAATGCAATGGCAGCTTCGCCCAAAAAAAGAAAAACATGCAATGGCAGCGAGTGAGTGAAGGGGAAGTGGGGATTATTGAAGGACGTATGCAAAAGCACGAGAGAGAGAGAGAGAGAGAGAGAGTTTCTGACCTTCGCTCACATGCAAAGTTTTTCTTCCTTAGCCCACATGCTTTTCAGTGTATTATTTTTCATTTGGGACCCCATACCAGCCCAATACTTTTATCGACTAAAGCGATTTGTGAGAACAGTTGTAATAGCTTTTCACGAGGATGATATCTAAGTCTGCACCAACACTTTATATTACAGTTGCAGGGGAAAATGGCTGAAAACGGAAGGCCAGTCCATACAGCAACAAGCCACTCGACAACGACTCAAACAAAGAGACATAGTATCCACATATTAAAGAGAGAGAGATGATCAAAGGCCTGTTGTTTCAGGCTTTTGATAGACTTCGTCAGCTCTACAACCATTTACTCTAAACTCAAGAGACAGTCAAAAACTTCCCACTGCACAAAGAGGTCACTTAGTTACTAGCCTGACCACAGATTTGAAGGGCAGATGGCATGGAGGGGATGCATTTTATATTTCATAACATGGACTATGGGCACAGAGAGAGAGAGAGAGAGAGAGAGAGAGAAGAGAGAGAGAGATCATGCGCATTTTGGGTTTCTACCAGGGCCTCCATAGTAAAAGTAATGGCCCCAATCGGCGTTATTGCCAGTCTGGACATTGTAGCAACCGGATCGCTCCGTGTAGGTGCCTATCTCTTTCGGGGCCCTGAGATTGTTGGAGCCATCGACGACCTGAAGGTTCCTGAAGTAACTTGCCTTCCCGAACCCTTCTTCAGGGAAATGGCCGCTTCCCATCTGGGTCGATGTGTGTTCACCACTGGGTTCTGTGTTCACGACCTCGCCTCCCCACTCGATCATGGCCGCGCTGTCTCCCAAGTACGAGAACAGGAACGAGGGCCAGTAGCCCAGAACATAGTTGTCCCCGAACTGCATCCACCAGTGCCCTTCATTCGGATCCTTGAAGAAATTCACCAAGCAAAAGGATTTTTTTTTTTTTGATAAGGGCCAAGCAAAAGGATTTTATTATTAATGAATTCAACAAACTTCTCTGGAGCTTGAAATGGAGACATATCACTACCCTTAATCAATGACATGACAAAATAGAAACACCGAATTTTTTGTCTTTTTGCTACCATGAAGAGCTAGTCCCTAGATGAGAAACAAGGACCTGTGAGACAGCATTAAGTCCAGCAAAAGCCAAATCTGATGAGTAATAACAAATGCTAATCAAAACAAAATCGATGCCTCTAGTACCCTTTCAAAGGTAACAAGGACCTAATGGGACTTTCTACTGAGAATGCATACTAATGTACTTATTTCTTTTTTTTAATCTATGTACCAGACAGCATTGGCTCCCATACGCATGTTTACTATGATCTCGATTTTCTCAAGTTTTAATATGACAATCTTCTCAAAAAGAGTGTCCCAGTGTGGGGGTGATTTGGCATTTACCTTCCAGACAATGAAGGTAGCTGCATCTTTCAACCCCTAGGTATCTTGGACAGATCGATACAATATTAAATCTTGCAAATAAACCAAAACAAACAGCACTAGAAAAATGCTAATCCAAACAACACAGATGTTTCTGATATGTGTCCTGAATTGTCTTGGCCCTATTATGGGTTCAAGTATTGCCAAGTCCGAATATCAAAGCACTATTCGCCGTAGTGTCAAATAAACAAGAGAAGTTCAAGTTGTGCTCGCATGGATGGATGGATGGGCACAAAAACCTCCATTTCTATTTGTTTAAATACAAAATCCTTAAAAAAGTGCGCACTGACGCGTTAGTCAGTATGTTCACCTAGGTCTAAGTGGGGAATGCATTAATATTTTACCTTCCAGACAAGTATACTGATATCGTACTGCGCATTACGATAAGCGGAGACCGGCGATATGCTGGCCCCCATCGCTATCTCGTTGTTGATTTGAATGAATCCCGAGCACAGGAGGTTGTAACAACCAGTCGCTTGATATGCATCACTCTGCCAATTTTGAAAAGAGAGTGAGTTCTTCATATGAACGAATCACTGTGACTTTGGAATGCAAAATTCAATGATACAAACTTACAGTCCAGTAAGAAAAGAGTCGTGTGTTATTATCGCCATAAAGTTCTGGACTGACCTGCGTGGACCAACCAACACAATCGTTATATACAAAAGCCATGTGCATGTGAAAATAAATCATCAGCCTCCATTTCCCTGAGAACCCCTTGTCCAATCTACATCACCTGCCAACCAGCTTCAATGCTGTTGAGGTCTTCGCCGAAAGAACCTCCCAAAATCCACAGCTGAGACAAGCTAAACTCGTTGGGTTGCTGTATCTTCGGTTCCCACACATTTATGGTTGCTTTGGCTCCATAGTACTTGCCTCCATCGACATAAGCTATTGCATGCTGATCACTCCCAAAATCAAGAACCAACATTACATTAAAGAACACTAACTAAAGACTAACAAAAGCAACCATTAAAACAAACCAAAGAAGTTGGAGGAAAAGGGCTGATCATTATGTTCACCTGATGGCCTCCTTGGTTGGTAAGATCAGGATCAGCAGACTTAGGCTGAGGTATGGTTCTGTGCTTCTTTCTTCCATATCTTCTGACTGAGCTTGCTCTGAGAACATCATCCTCCTTTGTCCTCCTAATGGGTATGGTGTTCTCTGGGCATTTACCACTCAAGTGCCAGAGCTGAGTCACTTGGTTTCTCTTTCCTTTTCCTCCCGTGGACACCTTGTTCTCATCAAACAGCCCTTCTGGGTGATAGTTCGGTCTCATCTGATCACCAGATAACCCCATTTTCGGATTTCAAATTACATAAAGAATTGATGACAAGAAATTCTAAAAACAAAAAAACAAAAGTAAGATGAACAGGGAACAATGCGCACCTGAATTTTGTGGTCTTTTAGGAAAGGGTGATCAAATGCTGGCTGGTCGGAGATATGGACGCAGTCTATCACGTCCCCATCTGGGCTCTGTTAACACCCCAAAAATTAGAAAAAACTAAGAGAAATTCACACTATCAACAACTTGAAAAAAGAAAAAAGTCCTTCACACAGTTTCCTTTAGTTCCTCCCAAGTAAAATTAAACGGTCAATACAGCTTCCATCAAAAGAGCAAAACGTCATGTAAAGAAATTCAGAAATTATCCGAGAAAAGAAATAAACAGAGGCACGGAACACTGAGAAGATGGTCGCAGCTGGAAAGTCAAAAACCAAAATGCCACTTAAAAGTGAGGAGCTTCAAATTCGAAAACTCGAAAAAGAGAGCGACCAAAAGCCCATTTCCTTTCAATCAGCACGGAAGCTGCGCTTTTCTCCTTTGCTTTCCTCATCCCACGAAAGCAAGCGGCATTTCCCTTCGTTTCTTTCCTACATTCCTCGCGAACTTCCTCCATGGGAAATAAAGTTGGAGAAGAAAAGGAAGGGCGAGATCATAAAAAGAAGCTAGCGAGAAGAAAGCGACCTCAATGGTTTTGATGGCGGGTTTGTTCAAACGCCGCAAGCGCTTCTGAACTTGGAGATTCGAGGTCGCAGGAGAAGAAGCAGCAGCGCAAGCCACGGAGAAGACAGCGAAGGCCCAAAGGGCATAGGAGATCACGGCCAAAGGTCTCGTCTTTCCCCGCCGGAGGGAGCACGAGCCAACCCTGCTGTCCATGGCTTGGAGCGAAAGAGTCGAAGGCCACAGAGAGCCCAGAAGGAGATTTGAGCAAGACCCTTTTGAGGAGGAGGAGCTGGGGGCGGTGGAGAGCTCAGAAGACAGTACTGCAACTGCAGTTGGCGCTGCGAGAGCAGCTTCTTCGTCGTCGTCACCCCCCTTAAAAAAAGCCAACTTTTCAGTGGGATTGGGAAGGTCCTGCCTCTCTCTCTCTCTGCGCTCCCACAAAAATCCAACGTAACCGACTGCTGTCTCTCTCTCGTGCGAGTTCTGCTGCTGACCGTGCGTTTCGTCTGTTTAACATTTCGAGGGGAAAATGGAATTCACCTCGCTTGAATATCCATAGTAAAAAGAGAGAGATTATCATTTTCAATACGTGGACTCTCTTGTCTGTTGTGTGTAATGAATGCATTTGAAATCGAAACATTAATTTTTAAAACTAAGTATGATTAACATGCGCTTAAGAAGAACGCTCCTCCAATGAGTCTTTGTTGACTAGCGCCTTTAGAGAACCACTGAAATTGTCACTTTTTTCACTTGAGAAGGGGGAGGTGAAAAGTTCGATTCCCTATCTTCTCAGAGGGCTAGGGATAAGGACGTGTGAATTTCATATTCCACGCTTTGCAAAGAGGCATAACAAAAATTTAAGAATGAGTTAAGAGTTAGACATATAAAAAAAAAACAACTAGCATCTTTAGGGAATTTGATAACCATACTCATTAAGGAAATATTTTTATTTTTGGTATACCGATTACACGCGATACGAGAAAGAGAGTGCGTCGACAATGACAAACTCTTCTCGGTCGAGGCGTCTTAAACAAGCTACTTTTATGTGCTTGGGAATTAGCCATATGAGACCCAATTCTCAAACTTCAAAGTCCATTGAGGACGGTCTGAATCTACTTCATCTTTACCGTAGCGTTTAGGAAAGATTTGGAGGCGACTTGTGTATTCTTCTATGTACGAATCATAGAATTAAATGCATCGTCTTGCTTTGAAACATCGGATCAGATGATCATTATGCATGAAGAATGGATCTAGTATGGGTATTGGGTATTGTTTCGATCTAGGAAAGGAAGATCCTTCGATGTTTTGGCAAAAACTTAGAAAAGGGTAAAAATTGCCAAACAACAAAGCATGGACCATGGAGGAACCTTCGGGCTTAAAGGAGACATGGTGTGTATGATGGAGCATCAGCATCATCCTTCTTCTTGGTACCATGCAAAGCCTTCAAACCCTCGAGCTCCGCACGCCCTCTTTTGTCGTTTCAACAAACTTCGTCCTTCTCTTTCGGATATGATCTCTAATATTCGCGCAAACAAACTTCACCCACATCCAACTCTAGAAGGGGCAAATTCTTATACAGAGGCGAGCCCGCGCGAACCAAATCCACCGCGTCGGATCAATATGATCGAAGGAAAACTTGTCCGAAAAGTCATAAACCTATTCTACTTTTGCAAATTCAGTTTTAAACCTCTCAATTTTGCCAATCGAGTCCTAAGCCTTTTCACATTTTGCCAATTAAATCTATCTGGTTAATTTTGGGCCGAAATCGCTGACGTGAATATCGGCCGTGTCACATAGGACGGCCAGCGTTGACGTGAACAAGATTTATTAATTTTTTAAAATATTTTTTCCGAATTTCTAAAATTTTTTTCTTTTTTTTTCCTCTTCGTCGTTTGCCGGTCGCCCAACCTCTGAAGACTGGCTAGAGGCTACGATTGGCGAGGCTCCGGCCTCAGGTGAGGTCGCCCTCATGGGATTTGGTGAGGGGCAATCTCGCCAGCCTTGAGCGAGGCTTGCCCCTTGCCTACTTCAGGCGAGGCTTCGGGCAAGGCTCGACCTCACCCTCCCTCGCCTTCGGTCAGGGTGACCCTCGCCGGAGGTCGGGTGATCAGCAGAGGAAGAAAAGAGAAAAAAAAAAGGGAAAAAAAGAAGAAAAAAATTCAAAAAAAATATAAAAAAATTTAAAATTTTTGTCAATGTCAGTTCTCTCACGTGGTATGGCCAGCGTTTACGTCATCGATTTTCGGCCAAAATTGACTTGATTGATTCAATTGGTAAAAGGTGAAAAAGTTCAGAACTCGATTGGCAAAATTGAAAAATTTAGGACCGAATTGAAAAAAAAAACGTAATAAATTTATGACTTTTTGGATAATTTTCTTGATTACTGTCATTCTGGTTTCACGGACCTAGACCCGGATAATGGTTTCTCAACTAAGAGACTTACGGATACGGCACGTGGCACCGCATGCGAAACCAGCGCTTAATCACTCGAACATTCATGGATCTGTCGCCTTTTCCAATCCTAAAAGTTTGTCGTCTCGTCACAGCCCAAAGCGCATTATTCTAATACACTTTTCACCCGTGAGACCCTCTTGTGCTTCCACAGTGAGACCCCGTTGGCAATTACCGCCACGAAAATGTTGGGATTTGAGGGCGATCTAATCATTGAACCGTTGATTTCGTAACCTTGATTATGTGCGGCTTAGTGGGACGATCTCCTTCCCCTAATCATAATTGCACGCTTTTAGCAAGTTCCTCTGTTCTTTTCGCTGAAGGAATCCGAGGGTTTTTTTTCACAAAACCACCCATCCCTGAAAAAGTTGACTTTTCTAACTTCTTTAAGCACTTCGGCACTGGGGTGTTGCGTGTTGCTCTGGCAGGACATCGATCGCTCCTACCCATCAGCTTCTCAAACAGCACCACGGGCTTTGAAAAATCACACGATCGTGTTCTCCTCTGGTGCTGTGCCCGAACGAAGATTCTCCTGTCGTTAGCCCCCCTGTTGCAATCTTCTTATTATGATGTCGGTGGACTTTGATGTTTTTCAATTATTGCTGCACGGAGTAGCTCTTGCAGGCGCAAGGGTCAAAAGGGTTCTTGAAGATAGCCCAAAGGCCATGATGGTCAATGTTTCATCGTTTCGGTTCAGTCGAGCAGGGGTTTCTCTCGTCGACCCATGAAGTAAAAGCTACTGCGCACTACTGCTTTCATAGGGAAAACACTCGGCGTGGATCCGGATCGGTTAACTTATTATTAGCACATGACCTGGCTGTCGGATTATGGTGGGACCCGCACGTAAAGTTCAGGTGAGACCCGCGAAATCAATAGGTGCGATCCGGCCTGGCGGGTCGGATTCGAGGAGAGAATTCCTATTTTCGTGACGGAGACCTAGCTTTTTTGGAACCGCTTTGATCTACCGGTCCAAAGTCTTTCTAGGAAGGTTAGTTTCTTTGCGCCTCGATGTTGTTTCGAAGTGATCTTTGACTCCCGATTTTTATCTTTTTAATTATCACAATTTGACTTTTACTCGAAGTGAGATGTTTAAAACCTTCAACGAATGTACAAATGCGGACAAATTAAGAGAACAAATACATTATAAGTTATTGTAATTTGAAATATCGTGAATTTAGTTTTCAATTTTTATGAAGAATCTGTAAACAAACAGAACCTTATAATCCGGAAACTAGAACAATTTCAACCAAATATTATAGTTCGAGTTTTGTGTTTTCGCTATAAACTCATATGTACTCCAAACAGAATAATCACTCCCAATCTCCGATATCCATATTTTATCTGGTGTGGATATACTCATGCTACTTTCAGCTTAGGCTTCTGTAGTTTTCTGGCAATCGTTCAGGTAGAAACTGCACGCACGGTGCAATTGCTTCATACTTTCCCAGTCTCAGGCTTTCCTGCGGAGCCGTCCTCAATTCAAGGGGGGAATGGCAAGGCAGTCATCCACATAATCCAGCAGTGTAATTTTCCCTCAGTTCAGCTACACTTAGGTGTGGCGTTAACGTTTTTCGATTACGTACATTCTGATCAAGATGACCAGGTAAAGCTGCTGCATTTTAAGTCCGATTGTGTCAAGATTCTGAAACATTTGTGCAGGGCTCTAAACACGTTGAAGAAGGAGGCGGCGATCATGGGGAGAACGAAAGGCGAGGAAAAAGGGCGGAATTATTGGGTGCCCCAGCCATGAGGTGGACGTGCAGGAGGGACAAATCAGAATTAATTGTGGGTGTAGGAAGTGGGACTCTTGCTTTATATAATTGGTACGACAGATCGTGTCCCTGGACAGGGTTTGTGATCTCTAGAACATGGTTTGTGCGCGTAATAGTGGAACATGTGAACATGCTATGCTTCGACAGTGGCTATGGAGATGTGCCTGTCACGGGACCTCATTTCTGTTGATTTCATCAGTAAGGTCCCCGGTTTAATTAGGGGAGGACGAAGACGGTGTGAAAAAATCGGATGCTTTCGGCCGTGTGACTGCACTGCTACGGGAATGCGATCGACGTCGCGAAGGCTGTCTGATTAGGACGAAAAAGAAGGAAGCTTCCTTCATTCTCAGAGGAAATTGCTATCATGGAGTTCTGCACTGCTCGCGATTCTGCAGAGTGAATGAGAGATGCGCGGGTCTCCCCTGTTCGTCTGCACTGGATTCCTTTCGAGGATGGCCTCATTGCGTCCGAACAGACCCAGAAGGTCCCTCGCCAGGGTGCGGTTTCTTGACTCGGTTGCAGGAACATTTGATGTGTCAACAAAGAAACGAGTGAACCAAAGATGGAATGCTCTCTGCCAACTTATGAATTGACCGATCCTCTCTGATCCAACCCAAGCCCCACCCTTGACAGTGAAGTGAAAAAGATTGAATAGGCGGTCCATGTCCACTATACTAGCACCAAAAACTACTCCCACTAGTCCTAGCACCACCTTTTTCCCTCTCCAATCTCCACTTAACTTTTTTAACATCAGATCCAGGCATGCTCACTCACGGTCTATTCGATTCATGAATCATGCCATACAACTACTGGACCCAGAGGGAAAAAAAAGAAATTGCGGGGACCTACACTAGTCTCCTAGTCCATTCTTACCACTTCATGAATAGACTATAATCATACAAAAAAAGCACCCTTAATTGATTGGATACATTTTCTTAAGATAAATAGTCGGAAAGGGTCACCTGCGTACGATCGTAGGCACGTCGGCAAGCTGAGAAAGTCCAGGTTGAGCGACAGCGCCAGCGGTCCTTCAATCAGAACACATATACAACACGGACATTGGAGAACCAACGCTAAGTCCGGCCCAGATTTTAATTCGTATTTCTACCTGAATCAATCTGGAGTGGGACTCATCAGCCAGCAGAAAACGAAATTCTATCTTGTCTTCATCAGGCACATTCATATCTACTCGCAATCAGAACAATTAAGCTTCCTAAATCTTAAGGCTTATCTGTACTATGGAAAGACTTCAGGAAGAGAAAAAAGGCACGAAGATGATATCACTCTTCCCTGCAATTGTAACCTAGTCACCTGCAAAACTCCCAACCTAAGCTAATACTTTACAGAGAAACATAATCAAATACTCAACAATACATAAGTGGAGTGCCCTATATTATAAAAGTCGCAGATTGAACAGTAATTAGAAGCCTGGAAAAGTCCATCATTTTGCGACCGTTTGACGTACTTTAGGGAAACAGCATTTCGCAGCACCATTCCTAGCAAATACAAGCAACACCTGGAAGCTCCAACTTTTATGGCAATAATAAAGGAAGAAAGAAACTCAACACTTATGTTTAGAAGAAAAGGAGAAAATCAGATTTTCTTATGACAATGAAACCCGCCTTAGGTGGGTAAGACGTGAGCCAAACCTGTATGGATGACCCGAAAAGGGATTGTTTGCACTAGGTGGTGCAAAAGGTTGAATTTGTGCCATGCGCTTGATGCACAGACACATGTCTGCTTCTTAACAACTAAACAAACCCGACAAGGTTGAGAAAAAAGAAAAAGAAATCACTATTCTTTTCTTCATTGTGTTTTATGCTCTCCCTCGCCCTATTGTGCTCTCATGTCGTGCCAATCAAAGTTAATTCAGAAACTCCCTTGTGTTCCTGTGCATGGCTTTCAGTTACATGTTCCCTCTAGCCACAGAATGTGGCCACCAAGCATCATCCTACTTGCACCAACATTCCTCAATTATTCGATGAACCCTGCAGATGAAAGAACTTTACTTCGGCATCAACAAAAACCTAATTCACCCTTAGTCCTCAGAAGCACCAGATAAAAATTAGGCAGCTCGCTGTGCCTTTACATCAAACTCAAAATATGGAGTCCTTGTTTGCAACACAAACTGGTGTACTACAAAAATAACCAGAAGTTTCTGAAAAATAATGTCAACCTTGCGTCTTCTTTCCTTAAATTTCATCTTCCTGGTGGAACATTTAAGCTCGCGAGCTGGAAATTTAGGCTTGCCACAGCCCGTCCTCTTCCATAGACAACAGTCCTAGAAAACCATAATTTGTGCTGAGATCTCTGCTCTTGTGATGTTTCGGAGAGAACTAGTTCATCCCCTCAACAAGGGATCTTGTCCACATACCGTAAGGAACTCCAACAGGGAAAAGAAGCAAGTCGGAATGGTTTGCGCCTACGTTCCCGGTCCTTTGGCACGTAAGCCATATTCGAACAAGAGCCTCACTACATAAATGAGATCTAAAAAATTTTCACAGGCTATATAATTTCCCCGATTTCCTACGAAGTTTCTTCAACTTTACTTGCGACAACTATAAAAATAAAAAGACTGAAGATTGAGAAGTTGGTCACATGACTACATGATAGGATCATGCAATAGGAGCCTCAAGCTAGGCATAAGCATACTTCTAACCAATAAGAAAATCTCACTCGACAGACATGCAACTAAGAGAAGCAATCTCCTCAGTTCTCTGCTCCTAAAAGAGCAAATGGGTAACGCTGTAATAAGCAACTGAAAGCAGGAGGCAGTAAATGATAAGATAACAAGAGAAGGATGGTTTTGCATTGCAGAGTGCACCAAAAAGAACACTGCAGTCACAAAAGTTCACGCCTTACCAAGGAATGCAACATTTTAGCTTTTCAATACCTCCAAATGATCATGATACCCTAAAATTACCAACGAGGAATCTCATCTCACACATGTCCAATTTTAGTCTACCCTGAATTCTCACTTATCATGGTCTTTGATCTAGATGTACATAGCGACATGTACAAGAAAATTAACCAATGTCAAGTACCAATCTTGAGCTTCCAATTTAATCCCGGATACACACCACCAAAAAACTCCAGTGATCATGTCTGCATATGGCAACAGCATTCCCATCCCATATATATCGCAGTTCATACAGCCACAGAACAATGTGACCAGCCTAACCACTTCAATTCACCAATCTAGTCAGGCAATTATCAGCAAGATCGATACTGAAAAACTAAACTCGAAATATTCACCTCCAATTCCAAATTAACTGAACTCCATTCGATCTAGTCGCTCACCCAGATAAGCGAAATCACAGAGAAACAAAAGATGAAAACCCAGATACGATTTCTATTAATAAAACATAATAAATACAATTAAATCTCCATCGGAACCCCGCAAAAAAAAAAAAAAACCAACTTTACAAAAAGAACGAAAAAGAAAACGCAGAAACTATCTGTATAACCAAAAAGAGACACGAAACGAAAAAGAACACGGGTCGGACGGTGAGAAAGTTACTGTACAGGTAGTGCGCCCGAGTCGATCAATCGGAATGCGAGTCGTAGTGGAAGCCATCGTAATCGACGGCGGCATCGCTGCTGTCGTCGCCGTCGTCGTCGTCGTCGTCGCCGTCGGAGCCGCCGTCGGAGACGTAGGAGTAGTAGTTGGAGTCGGGCGGGGGCACGCAGAGGAAGGTCCACACGAAGAGCGCGAGGCGACCCAGTTGCCGGAGAGGGAAGCAGCACACGAGATCCAGCAGCTGGTCGCTGCCCACCCGCTCCACGACCGGAATGCAGACCGCGCTCTGCCACGCGCGGGCGGACTCGTGGGCGACCCTCAGTATCATCACGCCGTTGAACACCATCTTCCCTTTCGCCGCGGGGATCGTGTTGGTCGTTATCGACGACGGATCCGTCCGGGAAGTGGTGGGACTGTGTCCGAAATTCGCGATGAATCTCCGAAGGTCGGGGATTGGACGGAACTGGATTGTCTGTCTGATGGTGGGCGTTGTTGTTGCTGTTCCTCGGAAAGTCAATCCTGGGCTGGTTTGTCTGTATTGGGTTTCTTGGAAAGTCTCGATTTTTTTTTTGGTCGGGGGGCCGTTTTCTTCGCATTTTCTTTTTGTTATTTCGTATGGTAAAAAAATCTGCAAGAAGGGTTATGCTGCTGATTAATACCATGAAAAATCTCAAATTGACACATTTATAATGAATTTACTCTAAACTAATTTTTTGACCACTAAAAATCTAAAACCGGTACATTTGTGATAAATTTATCCTCTGTTACTTTCTGTTAAATTGAATTAATATAACGAAAAATCACAAATCGGTAAACGGAGGGTAAAACCCTCAAACTGGTATATCCATCAACTGCCACGTGTTATTCAACTCAGCAATTTGACGGCAAAATTTAATGAAAAGTAACGGAGAGTAAATTTGTCACGGGTGTACCAATAATTAGTTTAGGATAAATTCGTTACAGGTGTACCGATTTGGAGTTTTTCGTGGTATTTACCCTTACAAAAAATAATTTGGAATATCAGTCCTAATAAGTTTAGTAAAATGCTAACAATAGAGAATCATAAACTAATTTACAAAACGTGGTTTCAAAATTGTAGTATACTAATTAAAAGTCACGGCGATAATCGTATGTATTATCTATAAAAAATTATAACTGTGTTATAGATTATACATATTGTTATAATATTTTTCAAAATATAAACATACGAGATAATATATCAAAAATTAGACAATTAAGTAGAAAAATCTCACATGACTCTCTCTCTCGCTTGCGTGACCGTCAAGGACTGCTTGGCTTATTTTGTTCTGTTTTTGCTTCTGATTTTTCTTTTCTATTTTCTTTCCCTTTTCTCCACAGCTTCCTCCTCCTCCGCCGCCGATCAGCTTTGAAGTCTGAACAAAGTCGGCCATTCACCGCTGGTCGCCACGAGGGACCGCCATTGACGGGCCTCCGTCCATTATGGTCACCACCATCGGCGTCGGCACTATCGTCAAATCTCCTACGAGGCATAAAAAATACTCTTCCAAAAGAAAACACCACCCTATATCCCAAAAGCTGGGAAAATTATCAAAAGTCCTGCTATTGTACGGCGGGTTCGAGTCCTAGCTTTCTAAACCTTGATTAGTCCAATTGACCCGGCCAATTTTGGCCGAGCTGCCATGGCAGTGGCCGCCGACCGCGCCGTGCCGTCCGATCAACTTATTGTCGTTGCATCTTTTAATTATTTTTCCAATTTTTCAATCTTTTTTTTTTACGCTTTCTTCCCTCTAGCCGGTCAACCTGGCAGCGGCACCAGAGGAGGGCCGGCGAGGGCGAGGCGAGACGAGGTCGGCCTCGCCTCGCCGTCGCGACCCAGTGCAACGGCGAGGCTCGACCTTGCCTCTGTTTGGACGAGGCGAGGCCGTCGCCCAGGTCGCGACGGCGAGGCTCGACCTCGCCCCTTTGGGCGAGGCGAGGTCCGCCCGCCACGCCGTCGCCCGGGTCGCGACGGCGAGGCGAGCGAGGCGAGGCGAGGTCGAGCCTCACCGTCGAGACCCGGGCGACGGCGAGGCTCGACCTCGCCTCGCCCGGCGAGGTGAGGTTGAGCCTCGCCGTCGCGACCCGAGTGACGGCGAGGCGAGGTCGAGCCTCGCCGTCGAGACCCAGACGACGGCGAGGCTCCGACCTCGCCTCGCTCTGTTGTCGCGACGGCGTGGCGAGGCCGACCTCGCCTCCCGACGAGAGGCGAGGTTGAGCCTCGCCGTCACACGGGTCGCGACGGCGGCGAGGCCGACCTCGCCTCGCCCATCAGGGGTGGCTAGGCACGCCTCGCCGATGGTCGGCGGGCGAGCTCGCCGCAGGCCGGCGAGTCGACCTCGCGGCCCTCCCCTACGGCCGGCCGCCGGACCGGCGGAGGGAAGAAAAAGAAAAAAGATTAAAAAATTGGAAAAAAAATAATTAAAAATTGCCACGTTAGCGTTGGCCGGACGGCGGCGGGCCGGCCACGTCGGCGCCGGCCAACCAAAATTAGGAAGGACTCAATTGGCAAGGTTTTAAAAGGTTTAGGACTGAATTGGCAAACTTAAAAGGTTTAGGAATTTGAATAATCTGCGTCTACCGATAGGTTTAGGACTTTTTGACAATTTTCCCCCCAAAAGCTAAACCATTCTCACTTTGACTCGACTTCAAAATGCATGATCAATTCATTCCGAACAAAAGTTCCACTTGTCACGAAAGTTAAATCGCACATTTAAGCCCTAAGCCAAGCCATATATTCGCTCAATAATTTTCTGGTTGATCACAAAAACAGAGAATAAACTTTATTCGTGCGCATAAGTTTATCTCTACTAATATATGAGAAAGGGATCATAAAAAAAGATTTTCTTTTTGCGACGGATTTGGAGGAAGAAAGAGATGAGAGAAGAAGGTATCATCATCAATCTTGTGTTAGAGATAGTTAGATCCGAGATAATTATCCTCTAACATTATGAAAAGAAGAATAAAATTCATAGTAAAAATAATAATTTTCAGTAAAAAAGAAAAGAAGAAAAATAGAAATAAAAAAAATCAGACTCTTTATCCCTTTGTTAGTAACACCACGAGCGAGTGCCCTTGTTTGTCGGAGCACCATCAACCATTTAATCCTGAAAAATCGAAGGGCATCATGCATTTGTCCTTCAAAGGAATCGTCTTCTTCCCTAGTGATCATCAACTAGGCCAAAAAAAAAGAAAAAAAATAAAAGCATGGCAAATGACCAGAGAATAACATTTGCTTTGATTTTGATTCTCGTCTCGGAGACGCACGTCGTCGGCGGCGAATGGAAACCGGCGGACTGCATTCAAGGTTGCATGCCCTTCTGCATGAAAGTCCAAGGCGCGACGGAGTCGGCCTGCAACTCCGGCTGCGCTCTCGGGTGCGAACAGTTACGAGGCAAAGGCGGTAGTTTCCACTTGGATCTCACTTGACGCCGGCTTGGATGCCTGGAGAGAGATCGGTGATGGGTGATGATCATTTGTTAAAGGCGCTCTCGAAATATCACCATGATTTGGTTGGGCGTAAGGAGATCGTCTCTTTCGTCCCTCCCTCTCCAGTTTCTTGTAAATTTACAGCAATTTTGTCCTTAATTTTCTACTATTTCAATTTTGAGATATAATCGATGCTTTTGGCAGATTCAATTTGCAAGTTTGTTTTGGTATATATAATGTATGTATGTATGTATGTATGTATTTATTGAAGTAGACAAATCCATAGTGCTTAGGACAAAAGGGAGGTGCTATTGGGTTTTCCGATGAAGATGGCAAATGATTTTTCTGTAATAAGTATGACTTTCATGACTCAAAAATCAAGGAAAACTTGGAATTGAAGAATGATCTTTTGTTTCCTTCGAAATGGGGGACCAAAGAGGACTTCCTAAGTCCGATCCTCCTAGAAGTCGATGAAATTCGACAATACAATTGACTTTATGCTCCTCAATTGTTATCATATGGGAAATCTTCTCTTCATTAAACATTGATCAATTGCATGCGTAATGGTGCTTCTCCTTATCGAATGTCGTCCAACGATGTTGCTCGGGGAAAATCACTCAAAAAGTTTAAAACCTATTATGTGATGGTCAATTCAGTTCCAGACCTTTCGATTTTAGCCAATTTAGTCCTAAGTCTTTTGACGATTAACCAATGCAGTTATTCCGGCCAATTTTGGCCGGAAATCGTTTGCCCAGTGGCCCAAAGTTGGAAAAAAAAGAATGACAAGAAAAGGAAAAAAGAAAAATTTATAAAAAAATCAATTTTTTTAAAAAAAATTTGCAAAAATTATCCCGTCAGCATCGGTAATGCCACGTAGGATAGCCGACGTATATGTAAACGATTTCCGGCCAACTATATTGGCAAATCGTCAAAATGTTTAGGATTAAATTGGCCAAATTGAAAAGTTTATGACTGAATTGGCAGTCGCACAATAAGTTAATAACTTTTCTGGTAATTATCCCATGTTGCTCGTGCCCGGTCGATCTTATTTTGAATGGAAATTTGGAGGGCCAATGCTTGTCGAAAGAAATGGAGGGCAACGAATAATACCAATCTAGTAATTAATCACATAAAATTCTATAAAATGAAACTATGTTTGGTTCATGAACATTTCAAGAACAGTTTGTCACAGCCAAGGCAATCAAACCAATTACATCATATATTTAGATTCTTTTTTTGATAAGTGAGAGAATATGGAGGGGTGACTGGCACAATCATTACCATGGATCTTATCATATAGTTTTTACACTCGTTATGAAATGTTCGGTTTGAGCCATAATTACCCAATTAGATCATTTTAGATTGGCTATGGTTAGTTTACAAAATTTTTAAATTCACTAGTGCCTCGTGAAACTCAAGTACCACTGTAATCACATGATTCTACTCAATGTGCAGTATGTACCACTATGCATTAGCTGCAAGATTTCAGGTGCTACTACTCTCTGTTCCAAGAGGTCTTTCTTTTCGAGCTAATTCTAAACTATGACAAAAAGTCCATTGCATGCTGTAAACATCTTTTGGAGAAAGTAGCAAATCAAAAACAGGGAGCTTCTGTATATATGGCCAACCGAGGACAGATATTCCGATCATAACTCATCATAATCACGTGTGTTTTACCACAATTCCTATACAAAACGTTGAAATTTATCAAAATCGGTCGATTAATGAGTGAAGTTTACTCTTACCATCGTATCTTTTGAACATTAAATCCTCGGGCGTGTATAAAAATCTGACAGAAAGAAACAGCCTTGTTGTTCCTACAGGTGAGTGCAACGTAGCATGCGGATGTCCCCCTAGATCCATAAAAAAAAAGGCAATTCAACAAAGCCTTCACTTTACTTTTTTACCAATTTTCATTGCACTAAAGTTGGTCCTTTACTGGTTTTGATAATGATGTGGTCTCAAAAGCGTCGCGTACCTTTGCTTCGTCTGATGTCCTACCTAATCCGGATGTGAAAATTCGATGATAGAGTTTATGTTAATACGGTATATTCGGAGTTGGGAATCCCAAACCCTATTAACCTATGGCGATAAAAGATTCGCACGATTTTTTTTATATCATTTTAATTAGGATGCTCGAAATAATTAAAGATTACACACCCTTTGTGAAAAAAAAAAGAAACTAAAGTTATGCAATATCATCTTTGCCTTTTTAGCTACTGCTGAATTCCACCCCGAACGCAAAGATCATGAACAAATTAAGTAGTGGTTGCAATCAAATTCCACCTTCTATTTTAGAAGTAGGGAAGCTCACACGAGAAAGAATAAATTACACCAGAAGAAAAACGAAACTTGCATTAGCAAGAAGGCCTTAGATAATCACTTCTTCTTTTGTCTTGATGTGGAGTTTTAGATTGCTTTTTGGCCCAAAATCTTCATTAGCAAAACTTAAACCTCCCTTCTCCGAGACTTGATATTCCAAGACCATTATAATATATAAAGCACACATGCGAGACAAGTTGGAAGCTTTGATGGCTAATCATTCGCATTAACATTAACTTTCGCCATATGCCCTCTTTGCATTATGCAAAGGCTTCACGTGGCCTGCAAATCAAGCACCGAGAACCCATTCATCGAGATGATAGCTAATCCCATGAACCGTCCAAGTCCGAGCAGGCACTTAAAGGGAAAGAGTACAGCCTTTTTGTCTGTAGTTGAGAATAAGAAATCGACAGCTATTTATGCTAAAGGTTATAATGAAATGGCTGCACCAATATGCCACCAGATGTTCATATTGACACTCATGCAATTTTAGTTCTTGAAGGCAGACAAAAAATGAAACTTTTTTGGGAGAATAATTATGACTCATGAAAGCACTTGCAGGATCCATTGGCATTGGCAAATGCTACTGTGTTCAAGAACAAGAACGAAGGACTCACGCCAAGTGACGTCTGAAGAAGGTTGCCCTTTCTCTTTTCTCACTTCTTTGGTACGTGGATATCATGAGGAAAAAGTTCTAGAAACCCGCACCTGAAGAAATGATGCCACTGCATGTTGGTTGGTAAAAAAATTTTCTTTTTCAGAAAGGCAACTTTTTTAAGCCAAAAGTTCTCGTCGGCAAAGCCTCGAATGGCAATTTACTGTCGGTATTTCTTCTGGGGAGGGATTAAAAGTCTGCGTCATCCAATTTTTGGCCAGTTGTCTTGTGCTTTGCCTCCCTGATCTTCCATTGTCCTCTCTCTCTCTCTAGACTTCCCAGCTATAGTTTCCTTCTTTTTGTTCTTTCTTGATCTCGCCACTTTCGGGTTGGGGATGGATCTCTTCCAGTTTCAGCTTTGATGATGGAGTGAGTACCCAAACAATGAGGGTGGCATTGTGATCTTCCACAAGGTTAAGCCAATTGCCTCCAAAGTTTCCACCATTGTAGATCAGAGAAGGGCACTGAGAGTCCTATGAAATTAAGGGTTGTTCAGCAGTAGAACGACTGTATGATTTTACTTTCTTGGAAAATGAAAACTCTTTTCTTTTGCTTTGAATTTGGTTTTGCTTCTGGCGATGATCTCCCAATTCGGGTCTGTCGGGCAATTTGCATTCGGTGTTCTGCTTCTTAGCTCCTCACCCCCCCACTTGCTCAATTCTTGAAATTCTACAGATTTTCAGTTCCTCCTCCAGTGTTTTTTTTCTCTTCTTTTCTTATGCAGAAGTAATATGGGTTGACACAAGTTTTTGATTAGCAGAGCGGTGACATTTGGCTTTTTGATGAGGTTTTTGTTTTGCAAATTACATTGTCCTTTCATCTGCTTCTGCAAACCTGCCCCTCACATCTACACACCCGGACCACCAAAATTGAAAAATTCCCCTCATGTCCCTCCTTCCACAGTTGTCTCTGTCCCTGATGCTTCTCATCAGTTGTCTACTCAGACCAATGAGGTCAAAGACGATGGCATAGTTGAGCTTGAGAAGCAACAGCAGCAGCAGCAACACCAACAACACGAAGTTGTTAATTGTGTCAAGAGTAGTCTCAAGAAGGCAACTTTGGAGACCAAAGAGACGAGGAAAAAGCAAGTCCAATGGATGGATTTCGTGGGGAAAGAACTTGCTGAGGTCAGAGAATTTGAGTCAAGGTTTGCACTTTTGCCGTAGATCTTCTATCGAACATGTTCTGGATTTGAATGGTTAAATTTTCACTCTGTTCTCAAGGATTAAACTGTCAGACATATTGTACGTAAACCGAGAAGGATCTCACTTTCTCTAACCTAGAGGCGCGAGACAACTCTCTCTAAGGAACTGGAAAAAATAAGGGATTAGAGGTTCTGGGACAAAGTACAGTTCTTGTGTGAGGGAGGATGAGTTGTGAGAGAGATCATTGTTTATTTACTTTTACACAGTCAGTTAAGAAAATGGGATCATTGTGCTCGGGATGAACAGAAGTTCCAGTTTGATTTCCTAATTTGGGACTTCTCCAGAGGATTAAGAACGAGCAAAGATGAAATTAATCATCGCGATAGGCCTTGAACTGTTTGAATTAGCTTGTCGAAATGGTCCTTTGCCAACATAATTGCAATGTCTCTGAGAAATGTGGAGCAGAGAAAAATGGACAACTTCAATGTGATGAAACACCTTATCTGAATCCTAGTTCTGGCACCTCTAGCTCAGAAAGCATTACCTGGCTCATACGGACTCGAGGACCATTTTCTATTGTGATCCTGCGGAAGAAATTGAACATAGCAACTTGCTCAAATGCCAGGAGAAGGTCCTCTTATCTAGGCAAAGAGGGAAGAGTGAGGGTGCAACACGAGAATAGGTCTTATTTAGCAGCTATCTCATGTAGATAGATAGGCAGACAGGTAGAATGTGTAATACATGTTGGATTGAAGGTATATGCTTAAAGACTTCCTGATATACAATTGCTAAAATCGTCGACATCCACAGCTTTTCCACGTCTTTTGCTGGAGATATTCGTTCTAAATTCTATATGCTAGGTTGAGGTTGTGATGGCTTCGGCAGTTTTTCTTTTAATTGTCTCACTCTGCAATCTGCATTGCCAATTTTACTTCAGACTCTCTCTCTCTCTCTCTGTTATTTCCTGGGAAGTGCATCAAACCTGATTGTTCATGCATTTTCTGTTTCCTCGCGCAGTGAAATATACGACAACTACAAAGATGCAGATACAAATAGAGGCTGCCTCTGCATCATTCTTTGATCAGACTGGAGGGATGAAAGAACAGTTTGCGCTTCTCGTCTCCACATTGAGTCCACCTGCATTGGTAAACTAAACAGTTCTCTGCATCAGTATCGAATTCCTGACTGAGTACCTCCATCAATTGCAGCATCTCGAGCTCCGGATTCGACACTTCCATTATGAGAAATCAGTCTCACAGATCTAGGCACTTGATCCGCGAAAGTTCATCTAAAGTATCATTTAAAGCCAATTAAAAGACACACAAGGAATTCATACCAAAGAAGTTCACTTTTCCTTGATCTGAGAAGCTGACAATGTTCCCTCGTTTCGCCACTGTCAGTTACATGTTACGTTTTCAAGATTATGATGCAGTGGTTCATCTTGATGTTCTTTCTATCCCTGCAACAAGCAAGTGAGACCACAGAAGTTTCTTCCATTGCATAATCTGCTACTTCTAAATATACACATATAGCCACGGAAAATACGTTGCCGCCCAACTTGGCACATCAGTGTCTCGCCTCGAGGCAGCGGACCGACTACTTCATGTCGAGTGCACGGTTGCTCGAGCTGACAAAACCCAAATTGCGAATCGGACGAGTTTAATCAAGTAATTTCCTTCTTGAGCCGCGTAAGTCGAATCATTTTATTCACAAAATTTAAGGTTTTCGAGATCAAGGTCTAGGCAAAGTTTTTTTGGGTCTGTCTTCTTCAATCCGGCCTGCCCATTGCTCATATCCTAGCTTGGAATTGTTAATGCAATTTGAGCCGTTGGAATTGACATATTTAAGGCGCCGTTCGTTTCGCGAAAAATGAGTTATTTAAAAAATATTTTTCAAAAAATAATTACTTATATCGTCTAAAAAAATAAATGAATTGAAAATTTTTTCTATCGCTCACAAAAATAATTAAGCATAGATTGTTATTGACGATGAAAATATTTTCCATTGACTAATTTTTCTAAACAATATATAAGTAATTATTTTTCGAAAAATATTTTTCAAATCACTCATTTTTCGCGAAACGAACACATTTAGTACGGTAACAAAAAATCTGCTCATTACATGGACGTCATTCAAGTCAAAGTTTCCACCTTTGCGTCCCGACAGCATTTACAAAAACTGAGATTTACCAAGTGGCCAGCAATTGAAAGGATAAGATGCTGTTCGCATCCTTAAACGTGGCTCTCTCCACCATCGCCTGAAGCTCTGTGACCACACCATGCAGCTCACAGCTGTAGCCCCAGCCCTTGCTCTCCTCCTCCTCGCCCTTATCTTCATCCGAACCAAACTCAAATCCAGAACCTCCCGCCCCAACCTCCCCCCGGGCAGCCTTGGATGGCCGGTCCTCGGCGCGAGCCTCGAGCTGTTCCGGGCCAACCGGGACGGGAACCCGGGCAAGTTCGTCCGGGACCGGATCGGCAAGCACGGCTCCCCCGTCTTCAAGATCTCGCTGCTGGGGGAGCGGATGGTGGTCCTGTGCGGGCCGGCAGGCAACAAGTTCCTGTTCTCGAACGAGGGCAAGAAGGTGGCGCTGTGGTGGCCGACCGCGGTGCGGAGGCTCATCGGGACGAGCCTCATAACCAAAGTCGGCGACGAAGGGAGGTCCGACCGGAAGATGCTCATGAGCTTCTTCAACCCGGAGGCGCTGATGAGGTTCGTGGGCACCATGGATGAGGTGACTCGGCACCATCTCAGGACTCGATGGCAAGGTACGTTAATGATGGTAGTTAGGTATGACAGTTGCGGAGTGTGAGATTTAACTTGATCACGGTACGACGATTGGGAAAACGATATAAGGTTTCATGCATCATACGTTCTTGTCAGGTTTGCTACGCTTGTTTAGTCAGTAATTGGTAGTTAATTTGGTAATTCATCATGATTAACGTGCTAATTATGATTATACGTTCTTCACAGCCAAGATATAAGCTTTGATTTTTTTCCTTGATGAATCCTCCAAATCCTTATACTTGGAGATTTTGTTTTAGGCTCCAACTTTATTTGGTTTGCCACGAATTGTTTTGCTTCCAAACGAAACCTAGCAACTATTATAATACTGAAAGAACAATTAAGGGTCAATTTGTATGATGAAAAACCATTTTCGAGAAATTATTCTCGATTTTTTAGCGTTTGGACGATGAAAAAATACCCGATGACGGAAATCATTTTTCATGGGTTGAAAAGAGCAGGTTGGAGAAAACGACTTTCTCTTGGAGCATGAATGAAATCAATTCCCCTAGTTTTTCCTATTCGCTAGCTTCTTGGCTGTCTATCTCTCATCAAAATTTTTTTTGATAGGTCTCATTTTTTTTTCATAAATCTTGTTTACCATCTCTAGAATATACTTTGGGTGCGTTTGTATTACTGAAAATTTCATGATAAAAAAAAATATTTTTCGTGAAAATTATTTTCAAGGAAAATGGATAGTTTTCATTCAAGAAAGTGATTTCCTACTTGTCAAAATGGTAAATCGTTTTCCTCAAATCTAAGCATGTTGTTTTAATCCATTGAAAATTTTTTTTTTAGATCGATTAATTCTCTATCATCCAAATACCGGAAAGACGGAAAATCCGGAAACAATATTCCTTCAAACGAACACACCCTTCACGAATGCTCGTTTTCTTCTACATTCTCAAAAGCACGATCATATATCATACTTTACAGACAAGAATTATAATTTATTTTCTAATTTCCTTTCGTAATTCTCGTTCTTTCGATGGACGACCGAACAAACGAAGAAGATGCCGATTCCAATTCGTTCGTCACTGCACGTCATTTCTAACAACACAAGCCTGCCTTTAGCAGATCCACTTCCTATCAAATACCACGACACCAATTTCTTCAATTCGTTTTCAGCACAAACAAACTCCACAAAGATAGTTTTACTTTATCTTGAAATCGAGTTCCCATGAAAACGAGAAAAAGTACTCGTCCTAATCTTGAACTCGGAAATTCGTGTAAAGTTGTCGAGCATCTGGCGGACATCTATGGAATTCAGGCCATCGCCATCTTCAACTTGTCGGGATCGAGACATATCTTCCCACACCCCGTGTGGATAAGTGGTGGCTAACAAGAATGTGACCGCCATTCACTATTGAAAGAGATATTCTGGTTGATATTTGAGATCGCCCTCGCCCATATACTATTCAAATCACTTGATTTAACATCTGTCACTACCTTCAAAACTATAATATTTTCTTAATCGATTATGTAATAAGCGATTTATTAAATGTACTAGTTCATACATCTTTTTTTTTTTCATTGAGTTATCGGTTTGGAGGGTTATACTAAAGTGGATTCGTTTTAATAGTTCAAGACGATCCGCGACGAAGAAAAATGTTGTGAGGGCACCATAGGGGTATGCACAAGAATTGGAATATCACTTTTGATATGACGACTTATTTGAATGGTTAGGGAACATCAAACTTCAAAATTACTTATGTAGATCAGGTCTATTTCAATAATTGATTATGTAAATCTTACGATGAGAACTGCATAATTAATCGTTCACATAATCTATAAATCACACGATGCTTCTCATGTTGTTCATTTTTCCAACCTCGTATGGCGACATTATCATTACGTATTATGAGGAATTATCAATGAAAAAGATTGGAATTTTCTGACCATTAGAAGCTCTCATCCTAGAAGTTCTCTTTCCACTACAATTTCGGGAAAAAATCACAAAAAACCCCAAATTATGCCCATTATGATATTTACTCTAAACTTTTTTTTTGTGATATCAAAAACTCCAAACTGTGCACATTGTGACACATTTGCCCTTTGTTAGGGTTCTGTTAAAAATCTCTATTAAAACTCTGACGTGGCGCTCGTGTGGCGCCACATTAGAAAAAAATTCAAAAAAAGTCACTGTTCATCGCGAGTTACTGTTCATCATCTTTGAAGTTACTGTTCATTATCTTCTTGCTCAGCTAGAGCTCGTCCATCGCTGCCCATTGCCGCTTGGACCTCCGGGAGTTTCGTCGTAGCCGCCGACCATGGCGGCCGTGAGCTCGAAGCTTGGCCATGGCGGCCGCTCGAGCTTGAAGCTTGGCCGAAGTGGATCTTCGCCTTCCGGGAGCTTCGTCGCCGTGAGCTCGAAGCTTGGCCATGGCGGCCGCTCGAGCTCGAAGCTTGGCTAAAGTGGATCTTCACCTTCCGGGAGCTTCGTTGCCGCGAGCTCGAAGCTTGGTCATGGCGGCTCTGCTCAAGCTCGAAGCTTGGCCATGGCCACTCTCGCAGCGACGAAGCTCCCGGAAGGCAAAGATCCACTTTGGCCAAGCTTTGAGCTCGAGTGGCCACCATGGCCAAGCACCATGGCCAAGCTTTGAGCTTGAGCGGAGCGGCCATGGCTAAGCTTCGAGCTCGCAGCCGCCATGGTCAGCAGATACGACGAAGCTCCCGGAGGTCTAGGCGGCAGTGGGCAGCGACGGATGAGCTCCGAAAGAGCTCTAGCCGAGTGAGAAGATGATGAACAGTAACTCGCGATGAATAGTGACTTTTTTAAAATTTTTTCCTGATGTGGCACTACGTGAGTGCCACATCAGAGTTTTAACGGAGATTTTTAACAGAATCCTAACGGCGGATAAATGTGTTACAATATGCATAGTTTGGGATTTTTTAATTATGTCACAAAAAGAAGTTTTGAGGTAAATATGTTACAATAGGCATAATTTGAGATTTTTGGTGGTCTTTTCCCTATATTTTCTGAGGTAGGGAATGCGTGGTTCGAACTTTCTCTTCACGATACGAGCAAACTGCTCACATAGCTTTGACCTTGGCTCATTGTGAAGGCAAAGATCAGGTGGAGGCATACCCGACCCTGAGGCTGTACACTTTCGAGCTCGCGTGCCGGTTATTCATGAGCATCACGGACCCGCAGCTCATCGTGAGGCTCGCCGATCACTTCCAGGTGTTCCACAAGGGATTGATCTCGCTCCCACTCGACTTCCCGGGCACAAGATTTCACCGCGCGAGGAGAGCCGCGGACTCCATCCGGGAGGAGCTCCGGGCGCTGGTGAGGCAAAGAAGGACAGAACTAGAGAAGAAGTTGGCCCGGCCGTCCCAAGACATAATGTCCCACTTGTTGGCGAACGGGGACGAGAACGGGAACCTCATGCCGGAGGCGGAGATCATAAACAACATGCTGAATTTCCTGTTCGCGGGGCACGACACTTCTAGTTCCACTCTCATGTTGCTCCTCAAGTACCTAGCTGAACTCCCTCATGTCCTTGACAAAATTCTTGCAGGTAATCATGTATTTACCTCTATCTTTACTTATCTTTTTGGTGTGGACTGATGATTGAAATGCTCATGAGCTTCATTAATGTCACAACCTGCAATGTCGCTGTCGCTAGAGCAAAGGGAAATCGCAGCATCGAAAGGTCCAGGAGAGTTGCTGCAATGGGACGATCTGCAGAGAATGAAGTATTCGTGGAACGTCCTGTGTGAAGTAATGAGAATGACCCCGCCAGTAGTCGGCACTTTTCGCGAGGCCCTGGTCGATTTCACCTACGAAGGATACACCATCCCTAAGGGCTGGAAGGTAAGGTTGCGTTTCTAACTTCCAGTGATGGTCGGGGTTGTCGCGTTTTCCTCTTGGTTTATGTCGAAGATCGGAACAAATGGGTGATCGAATTGATTTAAGTTCGTGTCCGACGGGACTATGCACAGTTATTTCTGAAGGCCCGTGTGAATCTTTGCCTATGCAGTTGTATTGGAGTGCTGCTGTAACGCACGAGGACCCGAACTTTCACCCGAGGGCGGCGAGCTTTGACGAGTCGAGGTTCGAGGGATCAGGGCCAGCACCGTATTCGTACGTCCCGTTTGGAGGCGGGCCTAGGATGTGCTTGGGGAAGGAGTTCGCGAGGGTGGAGATGCTCGTGTTCTTGCACAATCTGGTGAACATGTTCGATTGGGACCTGGTGATTCCTGGCGAGAAAATCATTTACGATCCCATGCCCACGCCCGTCAAAGGACTCCCCATCCGTCTTCGACCTCGCGGTCTTCGCCGGGGACTCTCGGGCTCGTGATCAAGATTCAAGTCTTCTCCAATATTGCTCTCGTTGTCGGGGGCAAGAGCCCTCGAGTTTGTAATAGATTACCATGGGTGCTCAATACAATCCTTCTCCCCAACCGCCATGAAAATAGGATAAAAGGAAAGAAGAGATGAATGCTACACTTTGCTCAATTTTCTTAATGAGATTGCATCTCCCGTTTAGAGATGGTGATGCAACACTTGGGCTCCGTTTGTTTCGTAGAAGATGTGGTATTTCTAGAAAATGTTTTCCAGAGAAATGGTGATATTTTTCGGTATGCGGTTGAAATTTGAAAATGAATTGAAAAATATTTTCTGTGATTTGGTAAGAAAAATCTGATTTAATTTTCGTAAATAGATATACATTATTCAGGTACTAGAAACTTATGTATGGGTAGCTGGGAAACCGGGTATAGGTACTAGAGTCCCGGGGTTGGCCTTGATGGACCCCAACTAGGGTGCTAGGGATTGGAGCAAGGGCAGTTGGGTCCCGAGCTCGGTCTCGATGTATTTGAGCGTGTGCACTGGGGTCCCTGGCGCGGCATTTGTGGACCCAGGCATGGTCTTTGTGGACTCAGCCTTTGTGGACCCTCGCCCAGGTGCCGGGGCTTCAAGCCTAGCCTCAATGGACCCGAGAGCGGGCAACGAAGTCTCAGGCTTGGCCTTGATGGACCCGAGCGCGGGCGCCGAGGATCCGGGCACAGGGGTCAAGGGACCAACCTTGATGGACCCGGGCCTAGGTGTCGGAGACCTGGTTCTAGGCCGAGAATCGAGAACCGAACAGGCCAAGGTCGGTTAACAAAATTTTTACCTGGGCACCGAATCGGTCCTCGTTTGAATCAGCTTGGAATTGGTCGAGTAAAATCGGTTTGATCCGGACCTCGAGTTGAACTGATCCAATTGCTCACCCAATATTGCAGTGCCTTTTGGCAGAGTATTCTACATCCCCAAGGTTATTTGAACTCCCTTGACATAACGCGAGAACAAATAAAACTTAAATAGATAAAATAACATGGTTCTTTATATTCTCTGCACTTCTTTTCTCTCCATTTCCATATGACGAGCAATCGGACATAAAATAACTACGAACATTTTTCGCCTGCCTCGTTGACCTCACCCATGTTTATTTGTCCACATCTGCAGCAGAACATAGGGCATCCCATCGGGCATATTTTCAGGCGTGCTACATTATTGGTTATATAGATAAAAACATAATGATGTGAAACGTCAATCCCAGCCATAATAATTCGACCACTTAATAGAAAACTAAGATTGGCGAATCCGTCATTGCACCCTCATCATCGCACTGACAAACCTTCACTCTCAATCTCTCTCTCTGCACAAATTAAAATTCAAACTCTGTATTTTTATAAGAGATCCGGAACGGTGAAAGTAAGTAAAACAAAATAATTTAACTTCGTCGCGAAAGAGATTGAAAGATGAACATTTTCATAATGAACAAGATCGATGATTATACAATTTCAAGACAGTTTTTTTGAACTAAAATGCTGTAAACTGTAACTTAACTAATTAGTACATCATGAGCACTCATGTGACATTTTTACCGAAAACATCTTGAAAGCTAATTGTCTTCACTTCACCATGCAACTCTTGTCCCTACCCTTAGCCTCAGCTCTCCTCCTCCTCCTCCTCGTCGCTCTTATCTCCTTCGTCCATGCCAAACTCAAATCCAAAACCTCCAATTCCAACCTCCCGCTGGGGAGCTTCGGATGGCCGATCCTCGGCGAGACCCTCGAGTTCCTCTGGGCCAGCCGGGACGGCAAGCCGGAGCAATTCATCCGAGCCCGAATGAACAAGCACAAGTCCTCAGTCTTCAAGACCTCGCTGTTCTGCGAGCGGATAGTTGTCCTGTGCGGGCCGGCCAGGAACAAATTCCTCTTCACGAACGAGAGCAAGAGAGTGGGGCTATGGTGGCCGAGCTCGGTTGGGAAACTGATGGGGCCAAGCCTCGTCACCAAGGTCAGCGACGAGGTGAAGTCGGACAAGAAGTTGCTCATGAGCTTCATCAATGCAGATGCGCTCATGAAGTCCGTCGGGGTCATAGATGAAGTCACTCGGCACCATCGTAGGACTCAATGGGACGGTGCGTCTGCTCAACCAAGATTCTAAATCTTTTTCCCTTTTCCTTTCATGCATACACACCGATATACATGAGTGTGACAAACCCATCAGCCAATATTAACTGACAAAACCCGTGTGAAATTTTCTCTTTTCTGAAATTTTTAGGCCCGACATCGATCGATTTGATATCGCAGGCAGCTTCTCAATGCATGCCACAACCAATGCAAAACAGTGAGATCTTGAGTGAATTAGAAAGACCCTATGAAAACTAATCAATTTGTTAAATTTCTCGCTGCATCTCCCGTTTCTGTGACTAAATAAATGCATATGTGAAGGCAAAGACGAGCTGGAGGTCTACCCGACCCTGAAGCTGCACACCTTCGAGCTCGCGTGCCGGCTGTTCATGAGCATCATGGACATTTGACTCGTCTCGAGGCTCACAGTTCACTTCAACGTGTTCCTCAAGGGAGTGATCTCTCTCCCCCTCGACTTCCCGGGCACAAGGTTTCACCGCGCGAGGAGAGCGGCAGATTCCATCCGGAAGGAGCTCCGAGAGTTGCTGAAACAGAGAAAGTCAGAGTTGGAGAAGAAGACGGCCTCGCCGTCGCAAGACGTCATGTCGCACTTGCTGGTGAACGGGGATGAGAACGGGAAGCTCATGCCCGAGGCAGAGATCATGAACGACATGTCGACCCTTTTATTTGCAGGGCACGATACGTCTACATCTACACTCATGTTGATCATCAAGTGCCTTGGTGAATTGCCTCATGTACTTGCAAAAGTTGCTGCTGGTAATTAGTCCTCCCTTTTCAGTTGTAAAGGCATCGCACATTTCAATTGCTTGGTCCATGCGCGAAGAACTGATTATGCGATTTCGGAATTTCAGAGCAGAGGGAAATCGCAGCCGCGAAGGCCCCAGGAGAGTTGCTTCAGTGGAACGATTTACAGAAAATGAGATACTCATGGAGCGTCGCCTCGGAGGTCATGAGGATGACCCCGCTGATACTCGGTTCGTTCCGTGAGGCCTCGGTCGCTTTCACGTACGAAGGCTATACCATCCCTAAAGGGCGGAAGGTAATGTGATTGATATCAATAACTCGTACAGACTTATGGTAGGACTCATGCTAACCAAGTCCTCTGCATTCGTTGCTCTATTGGAACGCTGCTCTCACACAGAGAGACCCGGATTACTATCCAAGAACCATGAGCTTCGACGAATCGAGATTCGAGGGGTCCGGGCCCGCTCCATACACCTATGTCCCGTTCGGAGGCGGGCCGAGGATGTGTTTAGGGAAGGAGTTTGCACGGGTGGAGATTCTCGTGTTCTTGCACAATCTGGTCGATAAGTTCCGTTGGGATCTGGCAATTCCTAATGAGAAAATCATGTATGCCTCCGTGCCTGTACTGGCGAGGGGACTCCCGATCCGCCTTTGACCGTGCGAAATCTCCATTTAATTGCCGTGATCTTCGCGATCTGTATCAACACGGTTCCCGGCTCCTAATGGCATTCACTGTCAACGCTTGATTCATAATACAATGATCATCTGGTCGGAAGGCAAGGAATGCAAAGAAGCAGAGGAATCAGGCAACTTGCCAGTTGCTACACGCATCAGGATGAAGTTATTCCATTTTGGACGGGTTCTAAGGCTTTGATTCTCAACCAATAAAATGTTTAGATGCTCCTCATATGGGCTCTCGTGTTCAAGCCTTAAAACTGAAGGATTCTAATCATGCATAGAAGAACAAAATTTAAGCACGTTTGACCAAAAAAAAAAAAGAATTATGAACTATCATGTCATCTGATATCACTTATTCATCAAGTATGCGCTATCATGATACATGTATGTGAAAGGTTAAAATCATTTATTTAGTACTGATGGTGTATTACCGAATGAGAGGGTTTGCGTTAGACCTTGTGTCTACCCTTATAGAATGAACGTTCATCTTTATAAACCGCTTCCCATCAAGGCGGTTACCGAAGAGGGCGGTTGTCACCGAAGGTACGAGCAGTGGAAAAACCGTATGTGGATAACGCACTTAAAAAGAAAACGTAGGTCAAACCTAATGGATAAGTTTTAATTTCAAAAACTATATCCCTAAATGTGGGATCACATTATAAATATAACATTCTCCCACTTGATCCCAACATTTTCATCATACGGATTACTCAACCAAATCCACGAAAACCTTATGCTTAAGAAAAGAAACAAGACACATGAATCATGGCGACATGTCCTCTAAGAGTGAGTAATATCTTCCATGTATCACAATGCATCTTATTCTTTTAATGTTAGTCCATATGTGACAACACATCTTAATGAATAAACCTTATGTTTATTCCAGAACCAAGGATAATTGTTATTCTCATAAACAACTGAATGTGTACACCAGAAATTGAGAATAACATTACAATTGAGTAAGAGTTTCAAACAACAAAAGTCGTCCATACGACAATAAATCACATTATGGGAATTATTCCCATACTAACTACATGATCCTTATACTTCATTGGTGGCATGCCTTTAGTTAAAGGATCAGCTATCATCAATTCAGTGCGAACGTGTTCAATGACCACTTTATTCTCCTTAACACGTTCCTTTATGGCTAAATACTTAATGTCGATGTGCTTACTTGATTGCCACTTCTAGCATTTTTAGCCGTAAAAACCTGCTGAATTGTCACAATATATTCTTAATGGCCTAGAAATAGAATCAACAATTCGAAGCCCTGAAATGAAACTCTTCAACCATACACCATGTGAGGTAGCCTCAAAACAAGAAACGAACTCAGCCTCCATAGTGGAAGTAGCAGTCAAAGTCTGCTTCGCACTCCTCCATGACACGGCTCCGCCAGCTAACATAAAAATGCATCATGATGTTGATTTTAGAGAATCAACGCAACCAGTGTAATCCGCATCCGAATAACCAAATACTTCCAAGTTGTCAGTCCGTCTATACATAAGCATGTAGCCTTTAGTACCTTGAAGGTATCTCATCACTTTCTTTGCAGCTTTCCAGTGATCTATCCCTGGATTACTCTGATATCTTCCCAACATTCCCACAGCAAAAGCGATGTCGGGTTGAGTGCAAACCACGAGGCATACATCAAGCTTCCGACGTGAAGGAAGCATATGGGATGTTCTTAATTTGTTCCCTTTCTAGATCGTTCTTCGGGCACTGGTTCAAATTGAACCTATCACCCTTCACAATGGGCGCTATACTTGGTGAACAATCTTTCATCCGAAATCTCTCCAAGACCTTATTGATATAGGTTTCTTGAGATAGTCCTAAAATTCCTCGAGTTCTATCTCTATGGATCTTAATGCCAATGACATAAGATGCCTCACCCATATCTTTCATGTCAAAACTCTTAGAGAGGAATTGTTTCACCTCATGCAACAACCCCTTATCATTGGTTGCAAGTAGAATATCATCCACATATAGCACAAGAAAACAAATTTTGCTCCCACTGACCTTCTGGTATACGCATTGATCCATGATATTCTCTACAAAGCCGAATGAAGAGATGACATCATGGAATCTTAAGTACCATTGGCGGGATGCTTGTTTCAAGCCATATATAGATTTCTTAAGCTTGCACACCAAATGCTCACCTTTCCTAGAGGAGAATCCTTCAGGTTGTTTCATGTAAACCTCTTCCTCTAGTTCCCCATTGAGGAATGCCGTTTTCACATCCATTTGATGTAATTCCATATCAAAATGGGCAACCAATGCCAAAATAATACGAAGAGAATCTTTATTAGATACAGGAGAAAATGTCTCCGTTTAATCGATTCCTTCCTTTTGAGTGAATCCTTTGGCAACAAGTCTAGCTTTATATCTCTCAATGTTGCCCAATGAGTCCTTCTTAGTTTTGAAGACCCACTTACAACCAATGGCCTTTGCACCATTAGGCAACTCAACCAAATCCCAGACTTCGTTTGATGCCATAGAACTCATCTCATCCTTCATGGCATTGTACCACAAATTGGATTCATCACTACTCATGGCTTGTGAAAACGTTTCAGGATCATTCTCAGCTCCAATATTATAGTCAGACTCTTGTAAATACACAATATAATCACTAGGAATTGCTGATTTCCTCATTCTAGTAGATCTTCTTAATGTTGTATCAACATTCTCTGGAGGAGCGTGTTGTTCAACTGGTTGTTCAACAGCTTCTGGTAATTGTTGAACAACTGGATCTACCGGATCATTATCAGCAAGTTGTGGAACTTCAATAGTTGGTTGTTCAATAGTCGGCTGAACTGAAGAGGCGTTATGAACAACAACCAACCTAATACTTGAAGTGGAAGGTTGAGTATTTGAATGATCTTTCTCAGGAACAATGTCCTTCAATCGATCACTCCCACTAATCAAGTCACTTTCAAGAAACTTAGCATTTCTTGATTCCATAATCCTAGTAGTGTGAGATGGACAATAAAACCTGTATCCCTTGGACTTTTCGACATATCCAATAAAATACCCACTTACAGGTCCTTGGGTCCAACTTCCTTTCCCCGTGGATTATAGACTCTTACTTCGGACGGGCATCCCAAACAGCGTACATGTCTCAAACTTGGTTTCCAACCTTTGAATAACTCAAAAGGCGTCTTTGGGACAGCCTTGGTTGGAACTCGATTTAATATGGCTACACTTTGCCGTCTTAAGAGCTTGATCCACAAGGACTTAGGAAGTTTGGAGCCTCTTAAGCATACTCCGCACCATGTCCAATAAAGTTCGATTTCTTCTTTCGCTACGCCATTTTGTCCGGAGAACCCTGGCATAGTGTATTGGGCAACTATGCCATTCTCTTGAAGAAACTTTGCAAACGGACCAGGTGCTTGTCCATCTTCAGTGTATCTACCATAAAATTTTCCACCTCTATCTGATCTCACGATCTTAATTTGCTTGCCGCATTGTTTCTCTACTTCCGCCTTAAAAACCTTAAAGGCATCCAACGCTTCATGTTTATTATGAAGCAAGTAGAGATACATGTAACGTGAGTAATCATCAATGAAGGAGATGAAGTATTTCTGACCATACGAGTCCATATCAGGACTACAAATGTCCGTATGTATGATTTCTAATATGTCTGTACTCCTCTTGGCATCTTTCTTTGTCTTGTTGGTCTGCTTTCCCTTTATGCAATCCACGCAAATATCATAATCAGTAAAATCCAAAGTACCGAGTACTCCATCATTTACTAATCGCTTAATTTTATCTATAGAGATATGTCCCAATCTTCGGTGCCACAACATAGAGGAATCTTCATTCACAACACATCGTTTCATATTAGAATTATCATGAACATGCATCGCATTATAATAGACATTGTCTTGTAAATTAATTCGAAAAAGACCATCAGACAAAATACCACTCCCAACAATTTCAGATTTAAACAATAAACTGAAGTTTGAATCTGAAAAGTTAAAAGAGTAACCCAAAGGTACAAGTCTTGAAACTGAAATTAAGTTTCTAGAGAAACTTGGAACATAAAAGGTCCTTTCCAAATCCAAAACAAAGCCACTATTGAGAACTAATCTACATGTCCCAATAGCTTCTACATGCGAACGCATCTTGTTTCCCGAATAGATGCTTTGTTCACTTCCCACTGGCTTCCTGTGGTTTTGAAAACCCTGCAAGGAATTCGAAATATGGATTGTAGAACCAGAATCAATCCACCAAGTGTTGTGACTCACATCAGCCATATTAGATTCATAACAAACATAAGAGGTTGGATTACCTTTCTTCTCGAGCCAGGCCTTAAATCTGACGCAATCCTTCTTCATATGCCCCTTCTTTCTACAGAAGAAACATTTGGATTCCTTCTTAATGTCAGCTTGGGGAGGTATTTTACCTTTCCCCTTCTGCTTGCCGTGACCCTTATTCCTTTCTTGTGTTGCCAAATGAGCACTTTCTCCCAATTCCATAATCAGCCTCTCTTCCTCTTGAACACACATTGTCACGCCCCGAACCCTACGGACACGCAACATCCCGCTATGGTCGTTATGATGCGACGACCCAGGACTCATCACCGACCCTTTTCTTTTTATCTTTGAATTACGCAAGCGGAAACGATAACCAATACAACAATCCCCGGACAATAATCAAATCGGGGATAGCGAGGAGGAAAAAGACATAACAAAAGCCATTTTTAATATTCACTTGATTAACGCCCGGGAACATACTTACAAGCCCACTCCGGGCGTTTTCACAAAAAGCCAGCAAAAGACAAAGGTTAGGGTTAATCTACTCCACCAACAAGTCGAACTCCAAAAACCAGCTTCCAGAACACCCCTGAACCAATTGGGTGCATCAACGTGCTAACGGCACCGAAAAGTGGTTAACAACAACAAATGAGACGAAAGTCTCAATAAGTTAACGACCTAAGCCTCGCTTAGGAGGCCAACTTCGCACGGGGTCCCTAACCAGGCAATACGACATCATCGCGACATCATTAAATAATCACGGAGCATCCTTTACCTCGCCTTGAGACATTCGTTGATGAAATGCATATGTCGCCAACTCGAAGCATCTAAATCATTTACTCATGCATCAATGCATCACAAGCGTGCGTGTCCCGATTATAAGATAGAATCTACTTGGGCACGTCCCATACCATGCCCGGCAGTTTCTACCACATAATCGGGCACTATGTATCACACGTATTCCCGGTTATTACGCCCCCTCGGGCCACTACACATCAAGCGATACGCAAAGACAAGATGGCGGTCTTAGGTAAAAACCGGGCTCCGTCCCGCCCGTCGGGCACGGCTACGTCAAACGATACACGGGATGACGGCATTCCAATACGGCAACATCAAACGATACACGGTAAGATGGTATCCCGTAGAGCATCGAGTCCGGCCTCGGGCCGCGACAAGGCATCCGGGGTATCGGTACTCCAGATAGTCCCCAGGCATCCGATAAATCGGGCATCGTCAAGCGATACACAGCAAGACGGCTCCAACGTGTGACCACATGAGCACACGAGCATTCCAGCCAATTATTATCTTCTCATTGCCCATGCATACATGAATCGTGCTCTCCTCAATGTCATGCAATAATACCAAGTGGCCACGCATGTTAGATCAATCAATTCTCACAAGCTTCGATATCAAACACGAATATCAACCACCAAGCATCACTAACATTACTTGGCATAACAGAATAAAATAATTTAATTCTAAAAGTCTCATAAATTTTCCACAGAAACTTTCGATCAAACAATTTACCATAAAATCAATTTAATACGACAATTCGCGGCAAAATCGCCAACATTCAAGCTAGAAATCATAATTTGAAATTATAAATTTTCCGAAATAACAATAAATTAAATTCGGAATTAGTTAATTAATAATATCCGAAAATAATTTAATTTTCCAAAATGTCAAAATATTTCCTCGAATCAAAAATCATTCAAATCATTTTCTAAATACTCCAACTTATATGGCGAAAACCAACATTGGCATCACAATTTGACGCTAGAAATTTTCCGAAAATAATAATATTTAATTTCCGGAAATTAATTATTTAATAATAAAATATTAATATTTAATTCGGAATTAATTTATTAACTAATAAAATAATATTTAAATTCCGAAAATAATTGATTTAATATAATAATCAATAACAATAAAATAACTGATAACTTATCACAATTACACGATAGCTTATCGCAACCCATCAATAGCCTATCAAATAATTACCGATAACCTATCACCTAATCCCACTTAATTAACCATAAACTTAAATCAACTACCCTAAGCAAGTTTAACACCCTAAAACACGGGATTAGGGGTTAACTTACTCGGCTAACGCCGGCAGCCGACGCGGGACGACGGCGGTGACGAGTGGCGGTCCGCGGTGTGCTCGGAATGCCCTTTCAGGTGAGCAGTGAACGGGCTTGGCGAGGGAGATAATGCTCAGCTTGTGGTAATTGGCAAGTGGCCGGGTTCAAAGAAGGGCCGAACGACTGCTGATGGTGGTGTCCGGCTAAAGGCGGGGACAACGGCGGTGGCGACGGTGGACGGACGGTGGTGGGCCGGCGGAGGCCTTGTTCGCTGCCCACTGGAAACGAACGGGCCGACAGGCGGCCTACGGGCGTGGCCGGTGGTGCGGCTCGACCCGCAGGGGAGCTAGGGTAGGCGGTGGCTCGCGGCGGGAAGGCGGCTCGCGGCTGGTTCCGGCAAGGGAGGCGGTCTAGTCGGTGAGCAGCACGAAGGAGCGAAGCTACCCGAACCTGGAAGTGGAACAGCGAAGAAGAAGAAGAAGAGAAGAAAAGAAAAGAAGAAAAAGAAAAAGAAGGAGAGGAGAGAGAGAGAGTTGGTGGGGGCTGATGGGTGTCAGACGCAAAGGGGGGGATCGGCGTGGAAAAGGGAAGGGAGAGAGAGAGAGAGGAAAAGTCAACATCGCACTCAAGTGCGATCCGACGGTCCTTGATCAAATTCAAAAACGATCCAACGGTCCACGAAAATTCCTATTAATAATATAGGAAAAGGGCCAAAAGATATTAATAAAAATATACTACGAGGGAAGTCTACTAGTCCAAATCTACACCCGGTCAAAATTTCACTTTTCGCATATCCCGGGTAATATCGAGGCTGGCCACAATAATATCGACACCGTCCAATTAAATTCGTCCCGTAACTCCGAGAAATTCAACACCAAAGTTTGGGCTCTAAATAACGGCCAAATTCGATCAAGTGCGATTCTAGCGAAATCTCAATTTTAAAATCAATAACCGGGAGTGATCAGTTCCCGGGCGAGATTTTACTATAAGCACACCGACGAATTACACGTTTTATAAATCCCAAAAATGGCCCGAAATTCAGAATGTCACACACATGGTCATGAATTCATTAATTGACCATTTATTCTTATGTGTGTTGTAGGAGATCTTGAAAGGTGCATACTGTTGTGGGAGAGTGTTCAGAATGTAGTACACAAGAAATGATTCAGATATCTCAACCTCAAGGTTTTTCAGCTGAGCTGCAATGTCCCTCATCTTCATGATGTGCTCACGCACACCTCTAATACTTGTGAGCTTTAGAGATGAAAACTTCATTATCAGGGTCATGGCATGTGCCTTTTCTTAAGTCTCAAACTGCGCATCAATGGCCTCCAATAAAGCCTTAGCATTGCTATGCTGAGCGACTGAACCACGGATACTAGGAGATACTTTAGTCCTTATGAACATCACACTAAGGTGGTTGGACCGCTCCCACTGTTCATAAAAGGCTATCTCACCATTGCGGTGCTTCATATCAGTGGGAGCAGTGGTTCGTCTTTCCTTATAGCATAGTCAATGTCCATGCACCCCAATTGAAGAAGAATTGACTCCTTCCAAACTTTATAGTTTTCACCATTCAGTATAGGAACATCACTTTTAAATTCAGAGAAATTCACAGGTTGCAAAACTGCATATCAAACAATCATGCATATGTCACAAAATTTGAGGTAAAGTATACATATATCATGTTCTACCAATGTAAGACATGTCACAAAATATGAATCACATAACATAAAAACTGCCTGTGGGCTAAGTTTTTAATTTAAATAGATTCATAAATACTTCATGAAGAAACTATCATATTATATCCCTTCCTTAATCCCTGTGGGTAAATTAAGAAAAATAATATGATATTTCCACCTAATTAATCAAATTAATATAATGAAAATTCCTGTGGGATAAAATTCATCATATTAATAAGATTAATTACAATCAATATCCATTTTCAAATGTGATCCGGAGGCTCTTAATATATAATTTAATTAATTAAAGATGCTGTGGCTATTCTCTAATTAATTAAAATATATGGATCACTGGACATTTAATTTCATGCATAAAAATTTTCATAAAATGCATGAAGGACAAAACAATAAATTTAATTGGGCAAGGGGCAGAATCGTAATAACGGGTAAAAGCGGGGGCAGAATCGTAAAACGAAGGGGCGCTGGTTCCAGGGGGCGTGAGCGGCACGCGCCTGCCCTATGCGCGGGCGCGTGGCGCGCGGGCGCGTGGCGCGCATGCGCCTTCTTTACCGCGCGGGCTCGTGTGGCGCATGCCTCTGCAACTGCCACGCACGTGGGCCGCACGCGCCTGCAGTTGCGCGCGTGTGGAGACCACGCGCCAGCGGTTGTGCGCGCGTGGGGCCACGCGCCTTCTTCCTCCGCGCAAACCGAAGCTTTTTCTCGCCATTTTTTCGCCGTTTGTTGACACCTAAATTTTGGCGTATCATTTAGTGTAATTTGCATAGAAAATTAGGGATTAAATTTTTAACCCCTAAACAAAAATATTTAAATTGCATAAACATATAGTTTAGGTCCATTTAATTTAATTGCATTTTTTGCATCAGATAGGTAGTGGCGAATGAGCTTAAAATTTCATCGAACGAGACTCGGCTCGCTCGGAAGGCAAGGGCCGGGAATTACAAGTCAAACGGGCTCGGTTGTTTTAATTTGAGTTTAATTCAGCCCATTATGCTTAATTAAATAAAAGCCCAAGTTAAATCAGCCCATTTAAATTAAATTAAACCTAAGCCCAAGCCTAAGCCCATTAGGACTATAGAGCCCATCTAATTGATCTAGGTTAGCATTATATCAACATGTTTAGGTCAGATTTCAAAAGGGAAGGGGGAGAAAAATTTTCATATCTGATTTTGAGAGCTCAAGTGCGAGAGTGAGAGCTCAAGTGCGAGAGTGAAAGAAAGGGAGAGAAGGGAGGCCGGCAACACCACCACCCGTGGTCGTGCCTCCCATCGCGCGTCACCGCCGCGTCGGAGGACCGCCGACACCGTCCCGGTCAGCCACCATCACTCCTTCCCTGTCCGCAAGTTATAGCCGTTGAAGGACCATCGTCGTTGCTTTGCCTCGCCGAACAGCCTGTCCCCGAGAGGCGTCGCCGCATTCTTGCTTCTCCATGCACCAGCCACGTCTTC